GGAGAGAAGGGAAATAAATATATGCATATCTTGATAGTAAGGGTGTTTTTTTGGATAAAAATTGATCAAATAGAGAATTCAAATTTAAAAGAAATTGTCACGTGGATATAGGAATCAATCATGCCTTGTCTGGACGAAGGCAGTCTTCACCTGACAAACGACAGCGATAGATGGATTATATTGTTGGTGTAATATAATTTTTTTTAATATTATAAAATAAATGCATTTTTAAGATACAGCTATAATTGAGTTAAACATTAAAGTCTGAACTATAGGTACTCATTTGTCAACGATATTTTTATATTGGGAAAACTAATTTGCCAATCCTTATAGTGTTACCTAATTTTGAATTAGATCCTTGCACTTTTTTTTCTTTTAATCCAATCCCTATTGTTTGATCCGTTAGTGGTCTGAGTCCTTCTGAGTCCTTCTGTTTGTGAGACTTTGCATCTACCGTTAGTTTCACTTGACTGGAAGTCAAGTGGTTTTTTTTTTTTTGATTAAGCAACCATCTTCCCATCTTAGCCTCTCCCTCGATCTCTCTCCCTCTTCTACTCACTTCCTCCCAGCCAATACCATCATCTCTCTCTCTCATCGGTTGTGTTCGCTCTCCCACTATCATAGTTTTTATCTCCTCTTGAGCTTCTGCCTTTTCCTTCTTTATCCCCTCCAGTGACGGCAATACTTCTCGGTCGCCGTACCTTAGCCGGCTTATAGAGATGAGCTTCCTCCTCCTCCATCATATGACCCCATGCTTGATTTTGACAAAGTGAAGGACACTCGTTTGCGAGTGATTGGTGACTTCATCCCTTTGCTGTATCTGAATGAGAGCGTTCTGGCATTTCCAAACGATCAGAAAGGTGATGGCTTTTTCCTCCAAAAACTACCGCCGCTCCCCTTTGGTGCTATCGCCACGGCGTCACCGTCGTTAACTAAATCACCATTCTCTATGACACCAAGTTCCCTTCGAATCCAAATAAATAGTACCATTTCAAGAGGACTGTCGTTGAATCAATCTTCTGGAAAATTCACGTGGTTCCACCTCGTCAATTGCTCTTTGTTGCAAGGAGTTATCCCCGGCACTAGACTATGAGCCACTGGAAATGGAGCTTCGAGTAGAGGGTCCATACTTATCCCACCATCATTTGAAACACTGTGAAACTTCTTGAAGAGGAGATAAAAACTATGATGGTGGGCGAGAGAACACAAACCATGAGAGAAAGAGAGATGATAGTGTTGGTTGGAGGGAAGTGAGTGCAGGAGGGAGAGAGATCGACGGAGGCTGAGATAGGAAGATGGTTGCTCACTCAAAAAAATTAAAATTGCCATGTCACCTCCAGTCAAGTTAAACTAACGGCAGATCCAAAGCCTCACAAACGGAAGGACTTGTACCACTAACGGAGCAAACAGTAAGGATGGGATAAAAAGAAAAGAAAGTACAAGGATCTAATTCAAAATTGAATAAAACTATAAGGACTGGCAAGTTAGTTTTCCTTTTTATATTTAAAGTAACTTCTCCTTTATTTCCTGGGTGTTTAGGTGATCTATTTTCTTCAATTAAGTCAACGACTTTAATGGGAGTTCACAGTCGGGAAAATTCTTCTTACGCCGCCTGGGGGTAGCTAGGAAATGTGCATACACATGAAACAAAATTATTAATGCTACCCCCAGTTTTAATTAAAAAAACTCGTTTATAATTTACAGATAAAATTTAATAATTAGGATCAGAAATGATATTATTTTTTAAGGTTAAAAACAATCACGCCCGTTGTGAAACACCCGGACTGGTAAAATATGCAACTATTTAAAATTATTAATAATATTTCCGTTGTTCAACATGCCAAAAAATTAATTACCACAATTCAACAATATATCCGTCATTTCATTGAATAGGCCATAAATAAAATATAAATTAGTCGTGTTTGTTGACAGATTAATGCCTAAAAATGCCCGCAAACTTTTCACTTCAATGTCAAATATGAAATAAGTTTTATAATCCAGCGTACTTTTCTCTACTTCGGATTCTAAATTTAGTCCCCAGCAAAAGTTAGGGGTTCGTAAATTACTAAACTAGTAGTATGTTAGTTGCCATAGGTCTCGTCCCCTTTTTACGACTGATCATGAAAAGTTTCACAAGATTTTCTGGAGGCGTTCGAGCTTATGTTTGAGTACGATACTCGATTTTTTCAGACTTGTGTGTGTTGAGAGTAACACGATATTTATTATAAAAAATTCGAACGAGTTAACGTCAATCAAAATAACAGTATAGGTTGGCAGAACAAAATAAAATACTCCTCTTATTATAAAATAGATTTTATATTTAGGACTGAAGTAGTAATATTATAGGAGTTTTGAGTTATATTACGGCCTCTAGTTCTAATTATAAGATATCCTTTAATCACTGATAAGAAATCATTTATTATAATTTATGTAAATAAATAAAATCAAAATACAGTTAAAATTTCCTGTCTGATCATGGCCCAAAAAAAGGGTTAAATTTACCGTCGTGGTTGCTGGTCATCCTCATTCCTCCGTCATTAGTCAGAAGATCGGCGTGCAGTAAACGGTATGTGATGTCATCATGCGCAGAGAATCATCCCCCCTCCCGCAGCCCACCAACCCCCGCCCCATTTCGTCATATTATAAGATGCAGTGAAGGGTAATATGGGAATAAAAAATATATGTAGTGGGGAAAATTGCAATAGATCCCAGACGCATCGTGCCTCCTGGTGGGGAGGTGGGCCGCCACCAATTCCCTACCACCAACCCCCAACCAACCCCCCTCCCTCCTGAGTCCTGACTTCCCACACACTCGCGTTCGCACAACGCTCAAGTCAATAATTTATCTAAATTTTGCTTCTCGCAATTCCCTCCTAAATATTATATTTTGATTAAATTAATTACGAGACTTTCAAAAAAATACTTATATTTTGATTAAGATTAATCACGAGACCATCAGCCATGCTCTTTGTTAAGCAGCCCCACATACTTCAGTTGCGTTTGAGTCGGTGTTAGATAAAACAGGGTTTATAAAATTAATTTAAAAGAATAATTGATTCATCAAAATAGAGTATTTGGACAATTTTTTAGAAAAAACATAATTAAAAATAAAATAATAAGATAAGTGTGATTTTATGTTTATAGTTAATTTTTACATTTATTTTATTCATTAAGGCAATAACATCGTCATTCCTTTTTTGTGTTTTTATTTTTGGGAGATGTTAATAATAAAATACCAAAATTATAGTAATATTGAATTCTGACTCGTTTGCGTGGCGCGTGGTTGTGAACGGTAAGGGAGGTATTTGTTTAATCGCTGAATCAGGGAGCAACGGAACAGTCGGTCATGATTTCCATCGAAGCTTTTCATAATCCGGGGACCACACGTCGGTGTCGTAAAGCAAAACGAAATGTCGTTTGGGAGGGCGTTCGTTTTACACCTGGCAACTTTTTACAGGCGTGGGATCATGTTCCGCGCTTGGCAGCCACCTGTATGAACAAGGAGTAACATAAAATTCAATTGGGCAAATATCAACAGGATATTGAGGAAATATTTGTTGGCAACCCAAAAATAACTTATAGAGAGTAGTAGTGGCAGATGCAGACAAATGGAGAACTGAAACCGCTGAAAATTGCTCTATATAGTTTAATTTGTCCATCACTTGGCATCGGGAAATTTTTTTTGGTGACGGATGTTGCCACCGATAAGAGAAATATCAATGTACTTTCTGCGAAAACAACTACTATTACTTAATGCCGTTGTGGCAAACGAAGTAGTGTTCTGACGTTCATGACAAGGAACTTTCTTTGAAGGCCACGGAATAACAATGTATTTGGATCATCAAGACTGAAAAAATGTATTTGAATTAGGAAAAAAAAACTTGTGGAGCAATTTTTAATTAGAGGCGTTAAATGAGGGACAAATTCTGGCAAAATATGTCCCTTTTTTACGTATTTTTTTATATCTCTTAATTTGTGTAATAACTTTAAGAAGATAAATATAGTGAAATAGAAGGAGAATATATGAGAATGATTTTTATTTTTAATTTTAATCTCAGAGATGTTTTGGGGGACCCCAGTTCTTGTTGGAAGTCCTCATTCAACGTGACACGTGTGATGGAAAGATTTGAAGATCGCATCACCCTCCCATGAACGTACGTGTGGAGATCACATAAATGGAACCGATTTTTTTTTTTTAAATTATTATTTATTTTTCTATTTTCATTTGATGAGATACATTTGAATGTAAAAAGAAAAAAGAACCCCTTTTCAAAAAAGAATGTAAAAGAAACCACTAAAATTTTGTCCTGAAGCGGGAAACCACTCAAGTTAAAACTTAAAATAAATGATTCAGTGAAGTGATATGTGAGTAGGAATTCAATACTATTTATTCGTTTTTCCTGACTTGCATGCATATTCTGCAGCGGCTTCAAATCCGTAGTCACGGGCAGCGGAGGCGCTAGAATGAAACTCCCAAGTATTCCCATTTTCTTTTGTGTTTTTTTTGGCCTGAAAATATTCCCATTTTCCAATCCACCAAATTCTCCCATGTTTTTTTGGCCAAAAATAACAAAATCCCATCCCATGCTGCAATAAGTAAGCTCATTATTTATAATTAATCGGAAGCAATTTTTTTTGGGTGTTTCTCAATAATAAGAATTAAAGTTGGATAAACGTGTAATTTTGGTATAATAATAGGATTGGTATATGATTTACTTAAAGAATTTTACATTCCTCATGCTTAAAGAGTTTTACATTCCTCATAAAAAATCGATTATAAATAAGTATTTTTATTTTATTTTTGTCCATATTGTTTTAAAACAAATGTTTCAATAGCTAAGTTGTGGTCAGAAGTTAATTTATTTCTCTTAATATCTCTCTCGAAAATTGAGCGAGATGTTATAAAATTGAAAAGAAAAAAAAAAAAGGAAATGGCAAACAGAAATCTCAGATCTAATTTTCCCCCAATTGTCGTCTATAAATAACCGAGAGGCCAACCCCGATTGCTCGCGCTGAGCTCTCTGCTTCTATCCGTGCCTCATCTTAGAAGCGAGAACTGGTCTCTATTCACCCGCAAGGTACGAGACCCTCACTCCCCCTCATCTGAATCTCTGTTGGGAGTTTCATTCTGATTCACTTTCATAGTCCATTCTAAGTCTTCTCCACCGTGTGGCACATTCTTAAATTTGATGAAGACCTGCTGAATCATTGATTCTCGGTTCTCTATTCCCTGATCTTTTCTACTACTACATAGTATCCATACCTCTCTGTTTTCTCTCCGCTGAGATCTACTTCATAGTTGTTGGCAACCTGTCTTGCAAATTAGATCTCAGATCTGTTCTATTTCATTAGCCTGATGCGTAGATCTAACAGAGGCTTTTGCTCTTCACAGTGGATCTGTCTATTCATCCTTCGGTTTCGTACTTAATATACTTTGGACATCAAAATTATGACGCTACAATTAGACACAGATCAGATCATTTTGATTTACTGATTTAAGATTCTTTTCAAGCCCTGTTACATATGAATTAGCTGCTGCGTACTCTGCTCCGCCCCATGCTTTCCTGTCCATTTATACTTTATACCCTTTACTTTCACTATGATTTTGACAAACTTCTCACTTCGTCCCCTTCCAAACGTTATTTGTGAACCTACTTAAGCTTCGTTTCAAAGATCTTTCGCTTTGTTTCCATATCTCATGATCAGACAACTTCCAAATGTTATATCTTCTTGGGAGGTCATTGTAGCAACTGTAATTCTTACTTTATATTTTTCGAGTTATATATATACACATATCCTTGAGCTTGGCATGATGATTTTATTACTCTTTCTGTGCTTCTTTCGTTGTAAATGGTGTTGGATTAAGCGATCAGTGATTCTTACGTAATGAGCTTTTAAATCTCGTCAACTGAGTTTCGTGTGCAATTTGACCTGATGTACCAGAGCAATGGCATCCCATATTGTCGGATATCCTCGCATGGGCCCCAAGAGAGAGCTCAAGTTCGCTCTGGAGTCATTCTGGGATGGGAAGAGCAGCGCTGAAGATTTGAAAAAGGTGGCCGCTGATCTCAGGGCATCAATCTGGAAGCAGATGGCTGATGCTGGGATCAAGTACATCCCCAGCAACACATTTTCTTTCTATGATCAGGTGCTTGATGCTACTGCCCTACTTGGTGCTGTTCCACCTAGGTATGGATGGACTGGTGGGGAGATTGGATTCGATACCTACTTTTCCATGGCCAGAGGGAATGCCTCAGTACCTGCAATGGAGATGACCAAATGGTTCGACACCAACTAGTAAGTGATGGCTCATACTACGTTGTATTTTAACTAAAATATTATTCGATAGTTGTCAACTAAGAGCTAAATTATCATAAATGAATTGGTGCAGTCACTTTATTGTACCCGAATTGGGACCTGATGTCAACTTCTCTTACGCTTCTCACAAAGCTGTGGACGAGTACAAGGAAGCCAAGGCTGTATGTCTTTTTATTATCTAGTGCTTTACGTTAATTTTTTTTTTTTCACTTTGAAATCTGAGGCTAGATGCGGTGAGCCTATTTGAGCTGCAAGACGCATTGCTATGAGAGCATATTATGTATCTGGTTCAGGGTCAGGGAATTATAGTTCAAAAGATCTGAAGTGTTGGCTAACTTGATAGAACTAATTGTGATAGTCTGCTTCTACCTGTATCACTCTTATTATGGTAGGTCCGACATGAGGTTGGCAGAGAATTGTTCTGCCATGCTCCTGTGTCAGCAGTTCTGATGAAATCTTAACTTCGTGCATTTATCTAATTCACCTTTGTCATTGAATATTTGATTTCTTCTTGTAGCTTGGAGTAGATACTGTTCCGGTCCTGATTGGTCCTGTCTCGTACTTGCTGCTCTCCAAACCTGCTAAGGGTGTTGAGAAAAGCTTTTCTCTCCTCTCTCTCCTCCCAAAAATCCTGGCTATTTACAAGTGAGAACCTTGAACTGTACGCAGATTAATTTCTTGCCCCAGATCATTAGTTCCTTGGATTTCTCTAACTTGCTTATAATAATGGACTCAGGGAAGTTATAGCTGATCTTAAGGCAGCTGGTGCTTCATGGATCCAGTTTGATGAACCAACTCTCGTTTTAGACCTTGACTCTCACAAGCTCCAAGCATTTACTGAAGCATACTCCGAACTTGAATCTTCTTTATCTGGATTGAATGTCCTTATTGAGACCTACTTTGCTGATATTCCTGCTGATGCTTACAAGACCCTCACTTCTCTCAAGGGTGTCACAGCATATGGATTTGATCTCGTCCGCGGAACTCAGACCCTTAATTTGATCAAGGGTGGCTTTCCCAGCGGAAAGCACCTCTTTGCTGGAGTGGTCGATGGAAGGAACATCTGGGCTAATGATCTTGCTGCATCCCTAAGTTTGCTACAGGATCTTGTGGGCGTTGTTGGCAAAGGTTATTATTAAACATACATTCATGGAATATAATGGCATATGTCTAGTATTGTAGCCTGATATCTCTATGTCCTAAATTTTGTGCAGACAAACTTGTTGTCTCCACCTCCTGCTCGCTTCTTCACACTGCTGTTGATCTTGTAAATGAGACCAAGCTTGATGATGAAATCAAGTCATGGCTTGCTTTTGCTGCCCAGAAAATTATTGAAGTCAATGCATTGGCCAAGGCGTTGTCTGGTGCAAAAGATGAGGTACCTTCAATTCTTTTAGTTCCTGTAAAATCTGATGTAGAATTTTTAAGCGCGCCATGAAACAAAGGAGGCAGAATAACTCAGCAATGTCCGTTACCTGAAAACGTATTTAAGTTCCTTGTCTTTGCTTGAGTGTGAGGTTGGAAATGTTGTAGGAGATGTAATTTCAAATGACATTATCACAAATGATTTTTTGAAACATGCCGCTGGGAGAGTCGAACAACGATATGATTAGACATTTAATACAGTTTGTATCCCAGTCTTTGTAGAAGCGTTGATTTAGACCCTAGGTTTGTGTCATTCCGGTTTGTTTCATCACACTATTCCATGAATAACTCGTTTTCTGCCTCCATGTCAGGCCTTCTTCTCTGCTAATGCGGCAGCTTTGGCTTCAAGGAAGTCCTCTCCAAGAGTGACCAATGCGGCTGTTCAGAATGCTGTGAGTTTCACTTTTCCCTCAGTTTGGTTTATCTGGATTTGTTGAAAGTAATTGTTCCGCTCCTTCTAACGACTTCTTTACTTGCTCTGTCAGGTTGCTGCATTGAAGGGTTCTGACCACCGCCGTGCCACTAATGTCAGTGCCAGACTGGATGCTCAACAAAAGAAGCTTAACCTCCCAATCCTCCCAACCACTACCATTGGATCCTTCCCTCAGACCGTAGAGCTGAGGAGGGTACGCCGTGAGTTCAAAGCCAACAAGTGAGAAGATTTTTCAGTTAATCTCTGGCCTTGCTTTTCGGGCCACACAAAGCGGGGGAGGGGGGATCCCTGCCTTGCTTTCTTCACCCCATGCCACTTATTTAATGACCCTAATTTTTATTTCTTCAGGATCTCCGAGGAAGAGTATGTTAATTTCATTAGAGAAGAAATCCGCAAAGTTGTTGAACTCCAAGAAGAGCTTGACATCGATGTCCTGGTACATGGGGAACCAGAGGTTAGCACTCACTTTCGCATATTGATGAGATATCGATGCACCAACTGAACATTAGTGATTCACTTCCCCTAACTCTGAGTGCCTTTAAATGCAGAGAAACGATATGGTTGAGTACTTTGGTGAGCAGTTGTCCGGCATTGCCTTCACTGTTAATGGATGGGTGCAATCTTATGGATCTCGTTGCGTGAAGCCACCAATCATCTATGGTGATGTGAGCCGCCCAAAAGCCATGACTGTGTTCTGGTCATCTATGGCTCAGAGCATGACCAAGCGCCCCATGAAGGGAATGCTTACCGGTCCGGTCACCATTCTGAACTGGTCCTTTGTTAGAGTCGACCAGCCTAGGTACAAACTCGAGACCCATAATAAGATGTTGTGGGGAAATGAACAAGAAAGACTTTTCATCTCGTATTTTACTTGATCGTTAGGTAGCTGACACATACAACAATCTATTTGCAGATCCGAGACTACCTATCAGATTGCCTTGGCTATAAAGGAGGAAGTAGAAGATCTTGAGAAGGCCGGCATCAACGTGATCCAAATTGACGAGGCTGCTTTGAGGGAGGGATTGCCGCTGAGGAAGTCAGAGCAAGCTCACTACTTGGACTGGGCTGTCCACGCCTTCAGGATCACCAACGTTGGTGTGAAGGACACCACACAGGTATTTCACCCATTAGAAATATAAACGGGTTATAATCTATTTCCTCTTCACATCTTCATCTCGTAAGCTGCATGATTCTGATGTGAACAATGGAACACAGATCCACACCCACATGTGCTATTCCAACTTCAACGACATCATCCACTCAATCATTGACATGGATGCTGATGTGATCACCATTGAGAACTCTCGTTCCGATGAAAAGCTTCTCTCAGTGTTCCGCGAAGGAGTGAAGTACGGTGCCGGAATCGGCCCCGGTGTGTATGACATTCACTCTCCCAGGATCCCACCAACAGAGGAAATTGCTGATAGGATCAACAAGATGCTGGCAGTGCTGGAGAAGAACATCTTGTGGGTCAACCCTGACTGTGGTCTCAAGACTCGCAAGTACGCTGAGGTGAAGCCAGCCCTCACCAACATGGTTGCTGCCGCCAAACTCATCCGCAATGAGCTCGCCTCTGCCAAGTGAATGGTATAAGAGAGTCGAACCTCCCTACGTGCACCGGTTCTTCTTTGCTTAAAGAAAAAGAAAAAGGGGAAAAAGGGGGAAATTTGTCTTCTTTTTTTTTTTTTTAATACCAGCGGAAATTTATGTGTTGTTGTTGCAATAACTGTGTGATCTTAGTTAGCGTTTCCCGGGGTTCTTTTGTTCTCTAAATATTTGTATTTTTGTGGCCGGGCCAGTGGCCCCGATTCTTATTGAATCACAATTTACCAGTTTTGTGGTAATAACCACCCAAATCTTGCCTCGTCAATTTCGTTATCTATCAATGCAGGCCATGTAAATACCGAAATGGTAGAACAGCACACTAGATATGTTACTAGCCAAAAAAATGACAGAACAATGATATCTGCCGAAGCTACTATCGGTAAATGACAGAACAACACACTAAAGTACTCAAAAGCCATTTTGGAAGCTGAACGTTATAAGGCTTAAAACATGTAAACTCTATGCTGCGTAATCCACGAGGAATTTTCCGAGTCCCGAATGATCCATCAAAGTAACAAAAACAAGTAGCAGCGATCGCGTTTCGTCATTAATTTATAAATGAGGTTACCTCAAACTGAAAGCTTCTCCGAATGGCCCTGTACCTTGTTAGCTCAGGTGAAAACAATGTATGCTCCTCTGCCCTACAATCTGAGGGAACTATCCTCATCCTAATTTTAAACCACTTCGCCCGTAAAGTATGTAGGGCCTACCATTCTCTCTGTGAGGCGTTTCATATGCTCCATATTTTGGGGATCAACTGTTATTATGCACAATTACATTCTCCTCTAGTCTTTTTTGAGTAGAGATAAGATATTTTTTGGTTTTATTTATAGGGCACTAAGAAATTTTTTTGGTATAGATGTACAATTTTACATATCATTTATTATTATGTTAATTTTGTTTATATGAGATGTAATATATATATTAAATAGAGATAAAATTAAAAAATTGTTTAAATTTTAAATGAGAGTTAATGAAGTTTAAGATTTTTCTTAGTCTGTATAAAACATACTGAAAGTGACTTATAAATAGGAACAAAAGAGTATCTCATATCTTAAGGGTCCTGGATGAAAAGTAAAAAAATTATATCATTTTCACTTAAATCAACAAATAAGCATACTAGTGATTTTGTTGGTTCCATCACATGCCGGAGCCAAAGAAATTATCTTAAAATATGATTTACAAATAACAAGATCTTGTTATAAATTTTACATTTTATATTAATCATGTAGAAAAAACATGTCCTTCTTTTGGCCAAGACAAAAAGCATGTTCTCCTGAAATCTGCCAGCAGGATTTCCCGTAATTCCAAATATTTCGGTGCACACAGCAGGGTTAGCAACAAATTCAAATATTCCAAATATTGTGGACAGTGATTATTAATGAGTTAAGATATATCCAACATCCAAAGTATTTTGTGGTGTATTTAACATCTCGAAATATTTTTTAACTACATCTAGTATCCTGAAGTTTTTTTTTGGTCTTGTTATTGGATGCATCAAAAAATATTTTTAAGTGCTGAATGTACCTACAAAAATACTTTGTAACGCTAGATAGTAGATACAACAAAAAATATTTCACTGTGCTAAACACATTTTAAAAAAATATTTCAGAGTGTCAGATGTATCACAGAATACTTTAGGGTATTGAATGCACCCCGATAAATATTTCAGGATGCTGTATGTATATTAACACATTATTACTTTACTACAAAGAATAAATTATCAAGGTAAACATAACTTTTCAGATTTTATCTACAATTGTAATTGGTGAATCCAGAAAATGTAATTATCGTCTTTAACTAATGAAAATATATCAGATATGCAGTCGGCTTGCCAGTTGGCCCACACTTCTTTGAGGCCGAACAAGCCAAGGGAAAGCTGTTTTCCCATGGATAACAAGGAAAATCTTAATCCCTGAAACTTACCAAAAAACAATATCGAAGGATTCTCATTCATACCCAACAGTCCCAGCATATAGATAAGCGAATTCCTTTTTTCTCTGAAGGGGAAAAATAACCACAACGGACGGGACATTCCAGCGATACGATCATCCAGTCACACTGACTACCATCTCCAATACCACAAAGGAAACAAAGTGAACTATTTTAGTCCATTGGAATTTTAGTATTCTGCAATGTTTGAATGCACCAACCTACTAACTAGGAAGCATCATAAAAGATAAATGTAATTAGTTCTTAAACATTTTTTTACCATTTATTTTTGCTCAAACCAAGCTCCACTGCCGTCTTAAATCTTCGTTTGCACACGGCCTAAAGATTCATTATAGTTTAAATAAGCCTGATCCGGCCGAGCCGTCCTTAGTCGTCTGTGTCGCGATCAAACATGCCTCCATAGCAACACTTTCTTTCCCCTTTGAATTCCTATAAATTTGAAGCATTCTCAATACTGCAAACCCAAACACAGATAAAACAATTGAAGCACATCCATAGCGACAGGAAAAAGAAAATATATCATCAAGCATGGCTCTCTCTCGTGCCATCATCCTTGCTCTACTCGCTGCTACCTTCTTTACAGCCATTTCCATGGCAGAAGATTTCATAGTTGGAGACGAAATGGGTTGGACAGTGGGGTTCGATTATCAATCCTGGAGTGCAAATAAGGTCTTCCGCGTTGGAGACAGGCTCAGTAAGTTCATCAATTCACAATATAATCCTTGTTTTTGCCACATATGTTTGCTTCTATGCGGGAGGATGGAACAGAAATTGAGTTTTTAGTTCCTTCTTACCAAATATTGCAGTATTCAAGTATGGTGCAGGAGAGCACAATGTGTTCGTGGTGACCGGAACAGACTTCAGGAACTGTAGTGTTCCCGCAGCAAGTCAGGGATTAACCACAGGAGAGGATGTGATTGTGTTGGAAACTCCAGGCAGACAATGGTACTTATGTGGGGTTGGGGATCACTGCCAAAATGGGCAAAAGCTTTTCGTAAATGTTTTGCCTTCTGAAACAGAGGCTCCATCTCTTTCACCTCTATCATCTGTCTTGCCCATAACTGCTACTCCGTCTTCAGCTCCAGCTCCAGCTCCATGGTCTCCTCCTTCCTCATCTCTGCTTGCCAAATATCGATGGCTTCCAGGAAGATGATTACAATATTTCACCACTAAATGCTGCGGCTGTTTTAGCATATTTCTTGGAGGGAGGTCCTTCTCTGGCGAGCTGCTAGTCCACTAATAATACTCTTAATAATATCTTATGTTTTCAAATCTCAAGCCTTGATTCCACAGTGATGCGATTTGCGAGATGTACCGTTTTTGCAGCAATTTGATGTTTCTTTTTTCCACCCGGATGTGTTAAGATGCAGTTGTTATTCGCAGGTTAATGCCAATTCCTCTGTTGTTATGATGAAATCTGTTCATTTTCTTTTGCTATTGCTTATTCCACTCGTGCATCAGCCATTTATTAAGCCCCACCCCACCCCTCACACACGCCAAAAAAAAGAAAATAAAATAAAATAAAAGAACGAAGGGGCAAGTTGCTCAGAACACCTAGTCACTGTATCATAGTACTCGCAATAAAGAAAACTACAGACTCATAAAAATAATAATAAAGCAATTACTATCACACATGTTAATTGATAACTTCATGATGAAACATAGGAAGACATTAATTCTTTTATGATTTAATCCCGTGTTACTGCTGAGGATAGTTGTGAAACTAAGGGGTGGTGTAGGGAAAAAACAAATAATAATTTTAAAAGTAATTTTATCTAAATAAATATATAAAAGAAGTTTGGTCTCGATTTGTATGAAAATACTATTTAAAAATGTTTTTTTTGTGGATTTCAAACAACCCTCAGGTTTTACAAGCGGAAACGCCCGTACTCCCCCATTTTAACTTCAATGGCACTTCAATTATTCAGTATCTTAAATTTAAGCAAATTAGTGTGGATCGTCTAATTTAACTGGAAAGGGAGATTGAGGAAGATGATTTGACTATTAGGGGGTGTTTGGCATTCTCAAAGCCGCGGTTTCAGAAGTATTTTTCTGCAAAACGAGGTAACCTCCTCCACATATTTACTTTGTAATCCGTAAAAGCATTTCTGAAACTATGGTTTGGTTTCTATCCAAACACCCTTTAAGACGTATAACCAAACACAGGATTTCTTCTATGTCAATGGAAAGGAGTCAAAGGACGGGATTGGGAACGATATTCTCACCGCATGAGCACCAAGCCAAGTCATAAATTTTTTGTTTGTGTGTCATGTGTTAGTTTTTCTCATGGGCCTCCAACACCCAAATATCGTCGTCGCGGGCTTGCACTAGTAACTGAACACACATGCCTGCACGGCTGCCCTCGCGTGTTGGTAAATATATAATGACAAAATTTATGTTCATTTCTTTATACTGATTAGGTTCAGTTCTTCAATTAAATCTTAATACTAGTTTTTTTTAATAATAAAAATCCTACTAGATAAAATTTTAAAATTCTGTTAAGTCATCATCATTAATAGTGAAAATCACATATGACAATATAGGATTGAAGAATTGGGCTAAATGAATTTAAATAAATAAACCGAAATTTTGTCTACATATATATAATTTTAAAATATAATAACTACATTTTTCCCAACAAAAAAAAAGGAACGACTGCAAGAACATCAGATTAAATGTGTTGAGTGCTGAGTGTATTGTGGGCCTAAAGCCCAATAGTAGCCCAAGTCTCATACACACTTCTCGGTTACGATTCCATGTGCTGGGGGAGTTTCGAACGAAGTTTCCAAATTCTGCTCGAAACAAAAAACTTATGCATGAGGCCTAATTAATATTCGCGCGGGTGACTCACTCAATATGCATTTGTATTCGGCAAAGCCGTCCTTGGTCGTCCGCATCACCATCAATGTCACACTCAAATTACTCAAAAAAGCAACATTTGGACTCCTCTTGAAAGCTTATAAATTTGCTCACATCCTCAATGTAATCTCATTCCAAAACGCCAACAAATCATATCATCAGCCTCATTGATCACTCAATTATTGAAGCATGGCTCTTTCTCGTGCTCTCATCCTTGTTGTCCTCGCTGCCACCTTCTTCTCAGCCACCCCCGCCGCCAAAGAATTCGTCGTCGGTGACGACCATGGCTGGACAATCCAGTTCGATTACCAAGCCTGGGCTTCCGACAAGGTCTTCCACGTCGGAGACAAACTCAGTAAGCTCGCTCGCTCGTTACATTGCTTCTTGACAAATTAACCTGAATATATGTACTTACTTGATGAATATTTACCGCATCAATCACCTCTCTGAGCAATATATATTATATCTATACGGCAGTATTCAGGTATCCTACTGGGAAGCACAATGTGTTCAAAGTGAATGGAACAGACTTCAGGAACTGCAAAGTTCCTGCAGCAGCTCAGGGATTAACCACCGGAGAGGATGTGATTGTGTTGGAAACTCCGGGCAGGAAATGGTATTTGTGTGGAGTTGCAGATCACTGCCAGAATGGGCAAAAGCTCTTCATTAATGTGTTGCCTTCTGAAGCACTAGCTCCATCTCCATCACCGTTATCATCTGTGTTGCCCATAACAGCGTCTCCGTCTCCGTCCCCGTCTCCATCTCCAGCTCCGTCGTCGTCTTCGCCTTTACGTGCTAAATATCCACGGCTGTCCAGGAAGCTAATTGCAGTGTCCCAATACTAATCCTCGCGCCGGCCACCCAATTCTCTTCCGAGTTGCTTCTAAATTACACCGTTGCGTTCTTTTCCCATTTTGTTCACGAATGTAATTTCTACTAAGTATTATTATTCATACGTTGTTCCTTATTCGATTAATAAAAACGTTATTCACTTGGGGTGTTGATGATATATTTTGATACGAATACGGCGGCTTTGAATTCGGTATCGAGGACGGAGTCGAATCCCTTCATCATTTACGGATAGAGGAAAGCCTCCCTGAAATTCTTCTTACTATATTTTCATCAAAAAGCCAGAGATATGGTTACTTGTAATAAGTTTCGATAATCTGCCTACCAAAAATTGAGCGTTAGAACTTTAACATCTGCAAATCAAATGTAAAGTATTTCTAGCTAGGGGTTGAACTTGCAATAAACCATTTCTATCAAAATTTTACATCTTTGTTGATTTCCATATAAAACCAAAAACAAACTAATTAAATCGTCAAAATTATGTTTGTTTTTAAGTAAAATCCAAAAGCGACATTATTAAAAACTATGCCTAGATGATGGCCCAAAAAAAAAGAAAAAAGAACTGCTTAGATAACTGATCGCTCTACCAACACAATAAATATTGTCTCTAGTCATGAATATAAACCCAGTTTATTAATTCGTGACAGTTTAAAAATTACTTCATTAAAAACCTAGTTTATTGAAAAAATGTGCTATTTTTTTAAATATCTTTTTTTTAATGTGAATATTAAATGTGGGATATAAAGAAAGAGGAAAATGACAGAATCTATCAGGGTAATGCAGGAAAACTTAAATGAGGCAAATAAAGAAAATTGCATTTTTAGAACCAAAGCACATCCTTCAGTTAGCTATCGAGATGAGTATACGATACCTCAATTTATCCAAAAGCAAACAACTTTATCCCCATTTCTGGACAAATGTGACTTCCAGTCTGCTGTGTCGTTACTGCAAAATTAAGCCTGTTCTTGAAACAGAAATTAAAGTTTATGCGTAGGATCTCTCGTGTATTACTAAATCAAAGAGTTTTTTTATTTCTAATGGGAGTTGTAACTTGTAAGTCCATGTTTCATCTGTTGTTGGGCTGATTTCCGCTTTTCGGTATTTGTAATTAAACTTTTACGACTTAAAATTTTTTCGCAATTTATAATTTATCTGTGTGTGTGTCTCTCTCTCTCTCTCTCTTATATATTGACAACCAAGGTTAGTATAATAGTATCAATTGTAAAAGAATATTTTCGTGCATTTAGTCCCTTTGTAAATTTGTAGTTTTTTTTGTGGTAATTTTAAAATTTCATGGTCGCTGTTTAATTAATATTCTATTTACTCGCTGTTTAATAAAGGCATTCACGTGGTGTCACCCGCCAATGTTTTGATTGGACTTTGAATTCAGTGTTGAGAGTGGTGTCAATCGCTTTATGATTTGCTGGTTGAACTTTCAATGGGCCTCACAAAAGTAAAGTGATGAGATTTCAGATTTATAAGATAATTCTCAATAATCTGGCTCCCAAAAATGAATCGTTAAATTTTTAACACCTATAAATTAAGTGTGTGTGTGTGTGTGTGTGTGTAAAGTATTTTCTAACACCAATTGATTTATTTCTTAGGGTTGAAATCTATGATAAACCAAGTCAATGTGGGGTAACTAGCTGCGCTTTTATCAAATTCAATGATTCTAGTGGTTTCTAACTTTAAACCAAGCACGCCCTAAGTATTATATAGCTTTTATCACGGTATATTCCTATCTATAGCAGGCATTCAAATTGTAAACTCAGTCTTAGTGTAGAATGTAGACGGCAAAGAAATTATTTAGGGAAAAGGCCAGGTTTGTTCAAACAGTAAATTTCGCTTAAAATAATGTTGTGATCTATATAATGACGAGGCCCACAAAGCATGTATTTCTCTTTAAATTTGAATAAAAATAAAAAAAGGATTAAAATTCATTTTAGCTGTATTAACATATTCTTTCAATCAAGAAATACATGTTCTTATTCAACTGACGATCATCATCTTTTTAATATATATCCAACGTTCAGTTTCACCCTATCCGAAGATTAAACTCAAAATCTTAAACAAGGAAATGTATTGTGTGCGAGAATTTAAATAAAAGTGACTTTCACCTTATCTAATCGTGTTATTTACATGTGATCACGAATAATGTTAAATTTAATTTGCGTGTTTTGCTTATGTAGAGGCTTGCAATGGAAGGGATCAGGAATTAGAGGAGGCAACAGATGGAACATTATTGGCAAAAGAAGGCGACAACGAGGGCCCCAAAGGAGTATTATTTGTGTCCCTCTCGTTTCACACTCTCCTTGTTGTGTTGGACCACTTCAATGATCACAATATCTTCGGATTATCCCCTTTTCTGAACTATTACGTATATATCAATGCTCTACATTATAATTTAATATTAATGATCATCGTAAGAAGCCGACCGCAGGCGGGACTGCCATGAAATCAAATCCACCCTATATATATATTACGTGCCCCAACCCAAATCATGTATCGCTGCGACAGCAAACACTTCATCTAAATCAACAAATATCTATCATAACTATCAAATTGCTACTCAGACATGGCTTCTTTCTCTTCTGCTACTGCTGGCGTTTCCTTGCTTGCCATTTTCATGGTCTTGCAGCTTTCCTCAGTCGCCATGGCCGCCGATCACATTGTGGGCGGTGACAAGGGTTGGACCACCAACTTCAACTACTCCGAATGGGCCAAGGATCAAGTTTTCGTTGTCGGGGACAACCTTGGTACGCATGTTTCGTTTTATTATTCTCTTTTGTGTACGTGTATGTGTGTGTGTGTGTGTGTATGAAACCAAGTGTTGAAATTTTATGCGATTGTGTGTTTGTGTGGCAGTGTTCAACTATAACAATACGAAGCACAATGTGTTCCAAGTGAACGGGACGATGTTCCAGAGCTGCACAATTCCAGACTCATCAAATTCAAACCAGTCACTGAGCTCTGGCCATGACGTGATTCGACTTGACACAGAGGGCAAAAAGTGGTACATTTGTGGTTTTAGCAATCACTGTCGTGATCTTGGCATGAAGCTTTCCGTCAACGTTACGCCTTCTGCTGCTTCTTCTCTCCTCTCCTCTGCCTCTCTGCTGCTTCTCGTCGCAGCCATGCTTGCCACTGCCACTATCTCCATCTGACCTTCCTTAATACTTCAGTCGCCTCATCCTTCTTGACCCCTGCATTTTTCAATAAAATAATAACGGTGTTTCCCCACTCCTTTTTAAAGAAACGTTGCTCTTGGTTGTTCTTATTCAACTGTTATATGATATATTATATTGTTTCTTTATAAGCTTACTACTGTAGTTTTATATGATGTTTCACGCTTCAACTCATAAGCCTGAGGAAAAAGCATGTTTTATTAACGGGCAAGATGAATGACGAGGTTAATAAGAGTATTAACCTGTGTTCACCAGTTAAGGTATTTTCCAAAAAGAAAATATTTGGCATGATGAATAAGCCAGGATCAACATAATTTGGATCATGAGTAATATTTGTAAACCATGCTATCGAGAAAAGGAGGAAAAGACCGAAGTGAGAAGAAAATGAGTGAATCGTTGCATGTACTGTTATTTCCATTGGAAACATTATCTGCTGTCGCTTACAGACATCACGTGAAGACTCATGGAATAAAGAAATGTTTGCGACCACTATAGTGGGAGTCGTCAAGTCACGACATGATACAATTTGAAGGAAAATTCTTCCATTTTTCAAAACCTCATCATCAATTCCTGGACATGCCACTTGTAGGATCGGTACAAGTGTCGAGGAAAGTAATTAAGCACCATCTCAGTAACCAAAATCCTTTAATCTTATTGGGAAAAATAGCTTCCAACTCAAATCGCTTCTGATATACGGCTTCTTTATGATATCATTGCCCAGCCAATGCATTGTTGTGGATTTGGAACCCCGCGTAATGGGTTTGTTTGAACGTTCTTCAATTCCTACTTTCTTGTGCATTCCAAGGGCTTGCCTGCCAATTGGATCTCACGTTTTCTTCTAATAGCTTTTGACGCAGTGAAGCAATATCACCATATTTGTATTCTTATTGCATTAGTTGAATCAGTGTGCGCTCTCCAATATGAAAAGTCATGCCACGTATGTGGAAAGAGATATACAGCGTGCAGAACGAACAAAGGAGTGAATATTTTAGCATGATTACGTACTGACCAACTCTCTGCAATTCCAGTCACTCATTCATTAGTTATTACCTTTTTCTTCTTTGCAGCCAACATGAAAATGAAAACAAAAATAGTTTAATCATCTGTGAAATAGTGACCCCCGAACTATACTGCGATATTTATTGCTTTGTGGTCTGGTGGCGTGCTGTAACTTCTGGCTTGCAACCAATATTCTTGTCAGCCTTTCAGGACTTGGGCTTTTTTCGCTTCATGATGAAAACATTAGCCAATATGGACTCAGGATGGGGACAGAAAGATAAAAAGGAAAGAGAAGTTCCTTTTATTATTTATTTTAACTTGTTTTCGGCACAACAGAGGTAACTTTTGAGACGACTATCAAATTGTGGTATAATCCTGCATATGCCATTGCTTGTAAAGCTAAATATTTTTTCACACACAAGGAGGTCATAGAAGCTTAATCTTATTACCCCTGTTACCAACTTGCTTTGCTGCTATAGGATGTAGAAGCAGACGAGGCTGCCTAAGTAGAAGAATGGGTGGTTCTTGTGGCCAGAGCAACCAGAAAGTCTCTCAAGTCTCCAGATGGAATGCTTTGATAAATTACATCACCAAGTTCCTTCGCATATTTTTGCTTGAAAACCCTTTTGATCTCGTCCATGTCTATCTCGGCCCTGCTGATTAGTGTCCGTACCAAAGTTCCTGTGTCAATCGTTCCCCCTTTGGTGCTGTTGTACAGTGCCTGCAAATATAAACCCGGTCAACTTCTTTTCTCTGAGCTTTAACATGACCAATTTCTTGCTATAAAGCTAATCACAAGGAATTTTTAGACTACCTTTGCATAGTAGCTTGCCGGATTGCAGATGCATTTCACAACCAGAATAAGAGACTTCTCAAATTCCAGACTGTTTCCCCTTTTGAGTGACTGAAACACAAAGCGGGCGGTTGAAAAGCATGATAAAAGGGGCGAGATTAATTATTAACGGCATGTTTGTCTCTTACCTTTGTGTAGTCATGTCCATATATGTGCTTATAACTTAAAAATGTCAGCTTCAGCTGGGCAATGCTTCTCTTACTGAGAATTTCAAGTACCACTGATTCATCAATTGCTCCTGAGCCTCCCTCTCCAGTTCCATAGAGCCTCCTTGCGTCACACTTGGATATATGCTGACTAGTCTCAGTTTGGTGAGCTTCGTGTGATGCAGTCAATGCCACAAGAATCTGCTTAACCAAACCCATATCCCTAATTATTCTACAAACACCTAACAGAATCCATAGCCATAAGACACAGATTGAGTAATACCCACGAGGAAAAAAGAACTCGCCTTTTGAAAGGGATGAGGAGGGTCCAGATCGATAATGTCTTGGTCCAAGTTCCTTCTGAATCTTCTATTGTATGCCTGTTTGATCAAAAGAATATGACTTGATTTCCGACCCACAAAGATTTCCACCAGAGCCTTGAAATTGGTGTCGTCTTGCTGGAGGGCTTCCCTGGATATAATAGCATCCCTATCATGCGGGTTAAGCATCCACAGGGACAAAGCAGAGGATTTCACAGACGAAACCTCTGCTTCGTATCTTTGAAGATGACCTATCAAGTCTTCACCATACGCTGCCTCATAGGTCTTTCTGAGTTGTTGTCTTTGAGATTGAGTCAGACGAGAAAGATAAGGAATCAAATGGCTCAAGCTTCCCAAAGAATCATGAATGGTCTTACAATCAAGCTCCAGGTTGAGATTAGCCGTTGGAAGAACATTAGCTGCCATAAGAGGAAAACAGGGGAAATGGTGGCTCGCTTCAGCAAGTTAGCAATGCCGAGTCACAGTATATATGGAAGGAAGGACAGGCAATCCAATCCATTACTTGAAGGTTAAGGCAGGAATGGTAACTTTTTTTTTTTTTTGGGGTGTAGAATTGATGGAGGGGGGATGGGGAGTAGCACGTGATTATTATCCCATTAATAATTATAACTCAATAAATATTCATCGAATTAAGGGATAATGAAATGATACAATTATATGAGAATATAATGAAGGTAATTGTCAAGGGTAGTGAGGTATTTGGGGGTGGAAAAGGAAAAAGGGCAAAAGAGGAGAGGAAGTTTCTGAGAATGTGAGAGGGAAAGAGGGTGGCTTTTGGGATGTGGGTGGCATGTGCAATTTGTTCTGTGGCTGATGATGGCGGTTAATTGGCGTCCAAGTAGACTGTGACTCAGTGATTCTGCTGATTATTCTTTGAGGAACATCGTGGAGAAGGACTAGAATTCAACCAATTATTTAAGGAACAGGGGTGAGTTGCAGAGTGGGTGAGAAGCGTCCTTTTTCCCCCATAATCTGCTGCTTAGATCCTTTTCCACCATTTTTCCTTACCCCGTTCCACCTACTTTTTCATTTGTCTTTCCATTTTTCTGTTCTTTTGGGAAATCACCTTCAGGTTCACACAACAAGACAAATTACCAAAAAAAAAGAATCTCTCGAAAACATTAAACTACTCTGAATTTCCCTTGATCCTTAACTGTAAATAATTTAATAAATATGTACTAAAATTTCCTTCCTTTTTTTTCCTTCAAATAATCCCTATAATTTATTCGGAGACTCGCGTGAGAGAGTACCTGGCATTTGGTCAACACAACCCTTAGACTAACCCGAATCGCGGCCCCACGACTTGACTTTTTTTTCCCCGAACTATATTCCCCACGAAAATGTTTGCAAGGCAATTTTTTTCCAAAAAAAAAAAGAGACAAATGGAAGAAGGGCTGGGGATTGGGAGGACGTGGGGAATGGGGCCCTGCACAGGGCATAGGGTAGGCCTGCGCCCTCCCTCGATGTTGCCGACTTTTTGTGATTGCAACTCATATGCTCATTAAATTTAGAAGTGTTCACGGGACGGATCGGGACCGGGACAGGTCTGTCCCGGTTCCGTCCCGATAAACAGTAACGGGACAGATTTTCTGTCCCGTGTCCCGGCCCGTCCCGGGGTTGTCTCGGTCCCGGTCGGGACGGGACGGATCCGGGACGGGACCGGGACGTCCTGAAATATTTTTTTAAAATTTTTTTTTAATTTTTTTTAATTTTAAAAAAAAAATCTAATTTTTTTAATTATATTTTTTTGACCTTAAATCTTATAAAAACATCTTTTTTATTTGTTTGGGTACTCTTAAACAAAAGCTCAAAATATTACATATAATAGTTATTAAAAACTCTAAACAAAAGCTTTTAACACAATAAAAACTTGCTAAAAAATCTAATCATCAATAATCTCAAATCATTAACAAATATAAAAACTCTAAATAAATATATCCATAGTTCCATACAATAGTCTCAAATCTTAAAAAAATATGAAAAAAAATGATATTATATAAAAAGTTAAAAAAATTAATTTTTTTTTTAAAAAAAGGGACCGGGACGGGACTGGGACGGGACGACCCCGTCCCGTGTCCCGTCCCGTCCCGGTCCCTTTTTTGTCCCGTCCCGGAAAATTTCGGGACGGATCCGTCCCGTCCCAATAAGACGGGGACCGGAACGGGCCGACCGGGACGGGCCGGCTTTGAACACCCCTAATTAAATTCATTCTTTTTTACTTAACGAATGTTTAGATGGAAACTAAATTATAATTTTAGAAGTGATTTTACGGTTTACGAATTAAATATATGAAGGAGTTTATCTCGATTTAGAAAAAAATATTTCTGAGAAGCACTCTTCAGGATATCCAAATACTTCCTAAGTATTCAAACTCACAATTTCCTTGCTGGTAAAAAAAAAAAAAGTCATAATTTCCTTATTAGACCTTATAATAAATGATGGAGGGAGCATATCAGATCAGATTCAAAATCTCTTGAGCCCAAAAGGATGTATTGGGTCAGGTACAAATGTAGATTGGGCTTTCCCTTTAGGGAGCATGGGGCGCCTCCAAATCCCAAAATGGTATGGGCCTCTCTTTAGGTCTTTTCAAGTCCATCCAATGCTGCTTTTAGTCTCCAACTTAAGCCCATTTTATTACCAGTTTTTTTGAATACAGCAGGCAACCCATCTTTTTTGGTTTTTTTTTTTAATCATTTCGACCAACGGCCTTTTTGATTGCTCCTGCATTTCAATTTCAATTTAACAAATGTGTATTTTTTTTAAAGATGAAGTCAACTTTTTAATTTAAATATTGTCAAAGAAAGAGAAGGTAATTTACCATGATTTAAATAGCCATTTTGATTTAACTTGAAACATGTGCATCATATTGGAATCTGGTTGAAAAGAGGAGTGCTCAAATCTTCACGCAACCTACCCAATATGTTACCGTTTCCTTGCTCAGATTATTACTTTACTCAAATAAATGGAGCAAACCAAAGAAACAAGTAATGGTTTGTTTTAATAGGACGCATTTCAGATATCCGCAAAGGCAGAAACTCAGTGAATCAGAAAATTTATAATTGAAGATACGACAGGGAAAAAAACCATTTGTAATAAAAGTCGCACTCTAAAAATTTGAAAGTACTATTCCGGTTTTAAATACAAGATTCTTATACTAGTGTGTATAACGGTCTTATATTTAAGATTAGGGGAGTAAAAGATCTAAAATTCACTAGAAAAACATATTTCATAAACTTGAATTAAACGCCTGATGTCTAGCAGCAGCATTTTAAAATATAAGATCAGGGAACGTGGCTTTGAATATGTGAAATTTCGAAATGGACACTTTATTGGAGCCAGTAAACGAGCGAGGCGAAGTCATGCGCGTGGTCAAATATGATGTGAGTTGGTGCCCCGCTGGAGACCGGAGAGGACCCCCCAATCATGGCTATTCGCAGACAATACACTTGTTCCTGTAAAGTGAACGGTTCCTCGTATTAGCTGGCACGATACTGCTTTATTTTATTTTATTTTTAAAAAAGTTACCTGCTTATTAATTATTACTCACTCTTCTTCATATTTTCTTTTTTTTACTTTTTAAAATGCAAATGAATGAAATAAGCCTCGCATCAAGACAAAGCATTTCTTGCGTTCGGAAAAGCGAAGGGAAGATCCGAAGTATTCTTGACCAGGACGGGGCATGTCTTCTGACTCACACTCTTGCTTTTCCAATTCTGACCTCGCTTATTTCCCGATATGCTTGATATTGGATTCGGCTGATAATGTCCAAACAAGAATACGTGGATCCTATGATCTGTTCTGTCCTTGTCTTCGTCTGTTTTGTTGTCTGCTTTTAATAACGTTTGATTATTTGTATATTTTCCCTCTCACGTCATTTCTCTGAATGGTGGACTGGACGCGTCCTATTCCCATATTTATTTCCAGCCCTCGCCCTCTCCCTCTCCTCACCCTCGTGTGTTCATGTCCTTTTAAATAACATTTTGACCCAATTCTGAGAGGAGGAAAAAAAAAGAGAAAGATAATCTTTTGTTTGTGTATATTTTGAAAATAGCTACTCTACTCAAAAAATAATTTTCTGGGCACATGTATGGAAATAGAAGGCATGGCAAGGGACGCTTTTTCTCTGAGCCACGAAACATTATAGAATATTATTATACTCACAAAATTTCCTGGTTCTTTTAAGTCATGCAAGAGGTTAGTTCGTTGCACACAATTTTTTAAAAATTCTTTTAATTAAAAATAACGGTCCGTAACAAATTAAACATGTGACGGTTGCTTGGGCCATTGGACAACGGGTATTTTTTAATCTTCAATTCCGAAAACTACTACTCTAAACATAATTGGCGGTGCAGAAAATTGTTAAGAAGAATGGGGCATTTATGGAACTTCACGGGTTCATTCTCATCATTCTGGCTGGCTTGAGAGCCACATCATGATTACATTCCTTCCAACCTCACACTAAACAGTCATACGTCTCTCTCTCTCTCTCTTCTGAGTTCTGCTTCAAGGCGACTCCTATCTGTTCGGTGACGATTACAGCGCTGGCTCTTTCTTCCCCTCTTTGTCTCTCTGCTCTCACCGTCGGCCACGGAATTTGTCAAACTCTGCGTTCAAAATCAAAATAGTAGTAGTTTTTGCTGTGCAAATTGCATATACTGCTACTACTCAGTCATCGCAATGCAGGTCAGTACTTAACGAATTCTAGGCTTAACTCTATCATATTGTCACGCTTCAAGTTCGGTTTTATTGTCATAATTAGAAACTCAATCGGTTTTCTCTGTTTGGGTTTTCCAGACAAGGACGGTTCAAGTAAAGAATGTTTCAGATCTAGCTACCGAGAGGGAGGTTCACGAATTTTTCTCGTTTTCTGGAGAAATCGAGCACATTGAGATTCAGAGGTGGGCATTTTACGCACCGGAATGTTTGATTTCTATTCTTTTCTTCCTGTTATTCGAATTCAAGTTTGGTTATTTTGACATACCTCCCTCTGGGTGGATGCTCTGAGAAAATGGGAGAGAACAAAGGACAGGCAAGAAATTACGAGCACTTTTACTTTTCATCTAATGGTATTAATTTAATTCTTCTCCCGAAAAAGCTAAGTGAGCAGGGTTTAACTATTGTGAAGTGCGCCGCCCCCAGTTTGCCTCTCTACTTTCCTCTTTGGTATTCCACCCCACTGGGAGCTTAGAAAACGTCATCGAAGATTAAGTGAAACTTAGATATTTTGTATGTGAATTTGCGTGATAGAGTGGAATAGGCTCTACATTTGTTTCAGTCTCTGCATCTATTTCTCTTCTTCGTGCATATGATAAACGACCGTATTAATTATGATGACGGGATGGTTTTGTCTGTTGGTTGTAGTGAATCGGGGAAATTAAAGACAGCGTATGTGACATTTAAAGATCCAAAGGCGCTTGAGATTGCGTTATTGTTATCGGTAATTTCTCTTTCCTTTTATGCGTGTTCGTGTAGTTGTGGCAAACCTGAGGCTTTACCTTATACTCCTCCGGTCCTAATTATAAGACCCAATTGACTTATTTGAGGAGATTAAGGAAGTAAGTTAAGTTGGTTATTTATAATAAATAAGTGTTGTCATTCCTAAAATATCCTTGCTAATTAGGTATATTGGCTAAAACTATCATTATTAGAAGGATTATCTTGGAAAAAAATGCATAAATATAAGAGACAAAATGGATTGGGGTCTTATAATTAGGACCAAATAAAAAGTCAAATGGGGTCTTATAATAAGGACCGGAGGAGTACTATGACTACATCTGTAAGAAACGGTCTTCAGTTAATTCCAACTTACATGTATGTCAAGATTGAAAGTGGTTCAGTGCATCTCTTTTGGGTTGGGGTGTTGTTTTTTTATTCTCCCCCCCCCCCCCAATTGGTCTGTAATGTGTTGTGCAGAAAGCAAAACGCTTTTAGAATGTTGAAGTTGTTTTTGTTAAGAGATTTATTTGCTGAATATAGAATATTGAAGTTTTTTTAACATTTTCTGCCTGATTCCTCTTTGAAGAACATCTAGAGTCACATGCCTTTATGCTTTGGACATAATGTTTTGATTTTTCATATGAAATTGGGAGTTCCTATGCTTTTGCACTTATGTGACCTGAGAAACTGAAAGTTCTGCTATATATTTTGCAGGGAGCGACAATAGTAGATCAGATTGTGAGTATAACTCCAGCCGAGAACTATGTACCGAAACAAGAGATGGAGGTAAATATATTAAGACCTTATTTTCAATGCTATATTTATGCATGATAATCTGGAATTCTAATATGTTCAAGTGCAATTTGTGCAGGAAGTAATGGTGGTAGCAAGTGCTACAAATGTTGCTCCTGTTGAAAATATTACACCAGATGTTGAGGTGGAACTGAAAATTCAACGTCTAATATGTTTTCCTTGCCTGATGTGCTCCTTGAATATTCAGTTAAATTATATGCATAACATGTTGCATTGACCTTTTGATCATTTAGTGAAAAGTGCCTGTATCAATAAACATTTAATTATATAGAACTAGTTTTCTAACTACTTTACTTTTGTCTTGCATGCTTATAATTTTCTGAAGCACCTGAAGTTTATTTTGCAGTTATTAGTAGCGTAGTATTGCATTCTTTTCTGGAGTGAGCTAATGACCTGTTGTGCAAAATCTCTTTGTGCAGGATAAAGCAAACCCCACTAACAGTGGAAGAATGTATATTAATAGAGCACAAGATGTAGTTACAAGTATGCTCGCTAAAAGTTCAGCAATTAGACAAGATGCACTGAATAAAGCTAAAGCGTTCGATGAAAAGCATCAGTTTACTGCCAATGCATCTGCTAAGGTTGCTTCTTTTGACAAGAGGGTTGGTCTTACAGAGAAATGGACAATTGGCATTTCTGTAGTTAATGAGAAGGTGAAGTATGTTGATCAGAGGCTTCATGTTTCAGATAAAACAATGGCCGCAATTCTAGCAGCTGAGAGGAAGTTAAATGATACTGGATCAGCGGTCAAAACAAGCAGGTTCAAAATGATGTTTCTCACAACATGCGAATAAATGTTGCATCACTGATTGTTATGAAAGTTATTTTTTAATTTGCCCTAACTTCTGTGCCTGATGATGAGCTGCGTAAGTTAGCCTCTTGAGCCAATTGCCTTTTATTACTTTGTCTTAATAAGCTCCCTTTCCTGCAAGGAATCATGAACAAGGGAAACGGAGAAATAATGGATATTTGTGCGGATATCTAGGAAACATAATTTCCTAATTCCTCTTAGGATCTTAAGGATTTGATTACCCAAGTATAAAGCCCATGCGGTGATGAGCTATTAAATGGGGTTAAAGAAGTTTTTTTTCTTTGTGAGGGGGGGGGGGGCTTCAGTTGCGATGGCAACAAACCTAGGTTTTTTTATTGATCAATGCATTCTGCGGGCAGCTAGTTACTGAATATATGCTTCTGAGGTTCGTAATTGTTATTGTGGCAATAAGAAGGTTGCAATTCACAATGTCGTTGAAGATTCTCACTGATCCTACGGTGGCTTTCATTGATTTGAACATCCATGTCTCCTTTGACAAGATTGTATATCTGTTACTGGAGACAATGACAGTACTCTTGATAGATGCTTCTGTGAAACCAAGCAGCTTTCATGGTTTATTAATCAATATCATGGAATTGCACCTTGTTAGTTGATCTTCACTTTCTAGCTTAAAATTTGTTTATTCCTTGTTGCTCGGAGACATGATGGCGAATGCCAAATAATGGTCTCTGTTGTGGTTGCTGCACCTGTTCTTCAACTTTCTCGATGCTAGTTCAATCCTCCTCCCTATAAGAAAATACAGTTAAAAAGGAAAATAAATTTAGACAATTTTGTTGTTCCTACCTGGGTGGAACATAGGTAGGAGAGTAGCAAAATATGCATAAATATTGTGGCTCATTTTTATTTCTAGTGTGTTTTTTAAAGTACTGATAACAAACCATTTGCCTGTCTATGACTTACCTTTTGGTTCTCCACAGATATGTGACTGCTGGAACGACATGGTTAAATGGTGCCTTTGGTAAGGTGGCAAGGGCTGGACAACTTGCCGGTACGAAAACCAGAGAAAAGTTCCATGTGGCTGTATCTAACTTGACAGCGAAGGTGAGTTCTGCTCTTACAATATGAGCCTCTCTATTCTGTAATGTCTTTGAACTCTCTGTATGGAAACACTAAACACAATCGCGGGAGAGGAAGAGGGGAAAATTCTTAAATGCATGTGGGTGTGCATAGGCATCGATTGTCACCCAAGAAATTAGTATAATGTGATTTCGTCCATCAATGCAGGAGCCGCCAGTTGCTGCATAAACCAGAATTTGGTAATCATAGGTTACATCAAGAGATCTCTTTATATGATGACATTTTTTTGGAACATGCTGCGATGTCAAGCTGTTTGGCCTTGGAAACGGAAACACAGAGTTGCAAAACAGGAGGAGAGACAGGAAGGCACTGGTTGCTGTGTTTGTCTTCCTAATCCGTCAGCAGTTTGTTTCACGTGGCAAGTGTTGTGATTAATTTTTATCCAATGCTTTATTCTTTTGTCACTATCTATGGTTTGTCGATGTTGCTTCTTTGTAATTTCAGCAGTGGTAATTCTGGTTTTCGTGTGGGAAGGAAATTATAGATGCAATGCGAGTGCTGTTCTCTTCACCTCAAAACATTAGCTGAGCATGTGCTATGAGATCTCTTACATGTATTCCTGTTACCAATGCTTTTTAAAAATTGTTGGAGAAATTATCTTCATGACTGCTTTTTCTGTTTTCTAAAATAAAACAGTATTCCCTGGAAAGAATGGAACAACCCAACATGAAAACAACTCAGTTTAAGCTTTCGGTGTCTATCATGAACGTAACATGAGAGTAGATCTTAATTTCCCATGCATTTTGCTGTGTCTTCATACCCACCTTCTACTTCATTTTAAAGGGGCGAATGATACTCCTAGGATGCATCTACAGTTAATGGCCTATGTCATAAAACCGCAGACTGACTATTCCCCCCCGGGGGGGGGGGGGAACATATTCCCCTTCTTGACCCTCCCCTCCAAAATTGGGGAAATAGGGGCGGGAAAGGTATTTTTTTGGTCTTGTTTTGGCTAAAATGCCCCAATCTTGGGGAATAATTTTACTTGACCCTATCTTGCTGGTTCCTCTTTTCCACGGACGTGTTCGGTGCTCGCTTCATCAGTGTCGGCCTCATTGAAATAGAGACCATGTGCTTAGTCTTGTATACCGACTTTAATTCAGTGAAGTCAGACCCAAAAAAAAAAAATCTGCACTTTTCGTTTGTATAAATATAATTTATTTTCATATTATAAATGGTTTAATCGGATAGTAATCCAGTAATTGGGTCGAGGAAACACGTGTAACTTGGTCTCCACGTCAATGCGCTTCGTCGAAGAAGGGATATCTTTGTACCATATGGCACCTGGTTCAATTGCATTTGTGAGGAAATTGTATCAACTTTGCTAAATGTTTCGAATTTAGACGTGAGAATGCGACAATATTAGTGGCAGAGCTTGCCACCCGTAAGGATACTGGCCCAGTTTAATAAAAATGTGAGGATTTTTTATTTTTTCATTTTTCCCTTCAAATTTGGTCAGCGCGAATCAGCCTAGAGAAGAGGCAAGTGTTATCCACATATTTATTCTTTTATTCATAATTTTAAAATATGATTAAGTTATTAATTTTATTCTTAAAAGAAAATACTCCTTCGATCTTTAATATAGGACTCAATTGTTGAGTTGATTTTAGTCCTAAATATAAGATTTATTTCTCATATTTATTATTTTTTTAAATTACTCCTATAGGTATTCTCTCAAGCATAATCAAGGAGAAGAGGGGGAGAAAGTATTAAGAAAGATAATTATGACATTTTAAGAAAAACATGTCACATTTCTTATAATTAACTAACTTACCTAACTTTTTTAATTTAATCAAATTAGTTAAGTGAATCTTATATTAAGGATAGGAGGAGTATTAAGGACAGAAGCAGTAATTTTGCTGGGGAGAGTGATACGCCGACCTTGCGTCCTTGACCTCAAATGAGAAACTCGCGGGAACCAGGGTCTTTTTGGTCCAAACAAAAGTCTTCAGTTCCGAAAGTGTCCTCCATTTTCTGATCCCCGTTTCGTAGATTCTCTCTTCCCACTTCCTGCTTCTTACTTATGCGTTGCTCTGGTGATACTCACGGTTTTGGTGCTCTTCTTTGCCCGAAACACCACCCATAACTTCTCTGCTTAAAACCAAGGAGATGCTTCGTTAGTTGGACAGTTGTGGATTTGTCTATTAACAAAGTGTATGTCTTGGTTGCGGATTTTGGTTTTTATATTTAGCAAGTTAATTCCATCAATTATTTCGGATTTGTTTTGATTTTTGATATTCTATGAACAAAATATTCTGGTTAAGGTCGGTGATCGAGGCAATGTTTCAAGCGGATAGGTATTGCATTGTTGTTTCTGTTTCGAAGCCTTTCAGTCGCTGACTTGCTGTATTTCAACTTATTCTCTTCTTTCTGCAATAGGTGTGTCAAATATAATCGGGTTCGAATGGTTTCACCGAAATTTGGTCTGGTTTTCGATATATGTTGTTTGCTGCATCATTTTCGACGTTTATAGTCCTCACTTTGTGTCAAGTTTGCATTTTCACTTGACCAGGCGCAGCTGGCAAGGATTGGCGTTTCAAATAATGTTTTTCTTTCGATGCTGTTTTTGTTTTGCTGATTTAAATCATTTTGTAGTTCTTGTGGCGAATAATATAATGTGTCGGGTTGAAAATAATGAGTGAGTTTCCCGATGGAAAGATCAGGTAAGAGACTGCAGATAGATATGGGAATATGATATTTGGCGCTTTTTAGGTCTTGCCTTTCAAACGATAATCTATTAGCAAGTGGGAACTCAATTTGCATCTTAAACTTCCCGAAAGGTTAGCGTCGACGTCGAATTTTCATTTCAGTGGTTAACATTAGTTTGATCATTGTTCACATTAGTTCTGTGAATTCTTGAGCCTATAGATCTTGCATTGGTGAGTAGAGTTAGAGAAGTACATCATCATTTGACGTGGCATTATAATCGTACTATGTAGCTGTATCATTGAGTCCTGCATATCTTTTATCATCATTTTGTGTTGAGACCCTTCTATTTCTGCTGAAAAAACATGAATTCAATTTGAGGACTTTCCTGATTTGTGATATGTTTGACCCAAGCAACTTGAATGCCAAATACTAGATGGATGTGGGGGAATCGCATGTTCTTCTTTTGTTCCCATTTAAATGTTATGAGTTTCCCTCAAGTATTATCTTACTGACTGAAGAATTCCAACATCATGTTGCTTCTCATTGTAGATCTCGTTGCCTACGAACTGTTTTGGTAGTCAATGACTGCTTTAACTTGTTTGTGCATGCAATAAGCATGGTGGTGGTGGTGATGTTGATGGAGAGCTACTGAAGCAAAAACTTTTATGACGGGCTATCTGCCTTATTGTTTTGATTGCTATATTAGAAAACCGTTTTGATGGACGGGGCCAATATCTGATGGACTGCTGGGCTTGAGTAATGTTTTAAGTATTGGGGAGCAATCTGTTGGAGAAAACAATTATACAGTGTCTAGCTTTTGGCGTAATCATATAGTTGATTGAGGCATATGACTGCAAAGCTGTTAGATTTAGCTCTCAGACCTCACATTAAATATTTTCCAAGATAGCTTCTATATATTTCGGGTGCAATTCTGCAAGGATGGATAAAACTGTTTCTCCTCAAGCATTGCGGACACCTGATCGCAAAATTTTATCTGCTAATTCACTGAAAGATTTGTGGCTTGTTGTGCGAGAAGGATCGCTAAATGATGTAGAGGCAGTCTTGGCATTATCAAAGAAGAATGGAATCAATATCAATTCAAGGAATATATTCGGGCTGACCCCTCTTCATATTGCCACTTGGAGGAACCACATCCCCATTGTCAGGAGGCTTCTTGCAGCTGGTGCAGACCCTGATGCTCGAGTAATGAAAAAATTTTAAATTTTTATTTCGTAAATGTCAGTCTTACAAATATACACCTGTCCCTTTCTTCATTTTATTTTAGGTAGGAGGTTACTTGGTTTTCTTAGATTTAGGACGTGTTTTGACATTCTCCTCCATTTTTATCTATAATGTCTTGGTCAAATGTACTTCTAAAGCAAATTCTATGAAGGAAAAGTTGCGATGACTGAAAAAATAATTGCAGTCATGAATTCATCAACAAACTTTTAATAAAATTTCCTTTTGTGTGTGTTGTTTGTTTTGGTGTGGATTTTTTTTTTTAATTATGATGGGGATGAACTAATGGCTAGTAATGCCTTTAGAAACCAAGCAACACAATCTGGTATATTACATATTCTTACTGCAATCATGCAATGAGTTTGCGTTGTACAAGGTTAAATCATTTCAGTCAATTCTCCCCTATCTTTTTTTTCCCTTGCTTGAGTGCTTACGCTAGAAATAAAATGTCACAGATGGTACCCACTGGCCTAAAAGGGTTCTAATAGTGTGAAATTTAACTAAAACAGCTTCTGATTGTCTTTTGCTTTTGTGTGGAAAAAAAATCTTTATTTATCGTCTTATTTTGAAGATTATTCAGATTTTAGGAGAATTTGAAGTCTCATGAAACCAAGAACTGTCCAATTCTCAGGTTTTTCCTTAAGGGCCATTTTATTTCTTTTGGAACTTACGTCTCATTAGTCTGAAACTTGCTTCACTTTTAGGATGGAGAATCAGGATGGAGTAGCCTTCACAGGGCTTTGCATTTTGGACATCTTGCTGTGGCAGGCATCCTTCTTCAGCATGATGCCTCTATTACAATGGAGGACTATAAATGTCGAGTACCTGTAGATCTCTTATCTGGCCCTGTGTTCCAGGCCTTTAGAAGTGAATGCGATTCAGGTATGAATTGCTGTGCTCTGACTACTTTGTAATGGTTCAGTTAGTTGTTGCCAATGCAAAGTAGTGATAGAAGAGGCTGAGAAATTATACTATGATATTTTGGGCATAGTTTCTACTGAGGTCTTTAGTTGGGGAAGTGGCACAAATTATCAGCTTGGAACTGGAAATGCGCACATTCAAAAGTTACCATGCAAAGTTGATTCCCTTGGCGGTTCGTACATAAAGTTGATTTCTGCCGCAAAATTCCACAGTGTGGCTGTTACAGCTGATGGAGAAGTGTATACCTGGGGATTTGGAAGGGGTGGCCGTCTAGGACACCCGGATTTTGACATCCATAGGTAAATGTTATATTCCAATATGAGGGCTGATAGGCATGGTTTAAGTTAGTTTTGGTATTACCATCATGTTTGGAATTGCATTTTTGCTTATGCTGTCAATATTGAACATAAAGGGTAGTACCTGTTGTTTAATCTCTTTCTCCCCTTCCCCCCTTTTTGAGTGTCAGCAAGGAGTATTCTCTGTCAGCAGCAGAGATTAATCTCCCTCAAGGTATTTTGGCTACTTTTCTCTTTTAAGCTTTAGAGGTTCTATCTGGATGCAGAAAATCAGAAATATTTTACTTAGCTTTGATACTTAGTAGAGGGGTTTTAATGAAAAAAGGAGTGTTTGTTGTGACAGAAATATCACAGCAAGACCAAATGGACCCTTATTTTAGTCGGCCTTCTCAGTAAAATTTAGGCAGTGTTCATGATTTTTTTCCTTTTAAGACTTTGTCAAGGTGGGTTTTATTTTTATCTGTTCATGCTTTTTGGACTACTGCCAATCAGATCTGATGTTGTTTTGGTACTCACCGCAGTGGTCAAGCTGCAGTCATCACTCCCCAGCAGGTGACTTATGGTCTGGGTGCTCGCCAAGTGAAGGTAATTGCTGCCGCTAAGCATCATACTGTTGTTGCTACAGAAGGTGGTGAAGTGTTCACATGGGGATCCAATAGAGGTAAACTATGATTATGTCTAGTTTTGACTGTCAATTATATCATGCAACTAAATTATCTTGTCTGCCACTGCCATCATGACCTGCCATGCCTTTTATTAAGTTATGGAGAGTGTCAGCTTGGTTGTGGCAGAAATTCTGCCATAACCAAGCTGACCCTCTCTATTGACATTTGACGATTATCAGATAGGAAGCGATTGGGATTTTTGGCATATCTGTGCTTCTTAAGTTTTGTCCCTTAGAATGAAGATATGCTTGAATGACACAGAAAACAGTTACACTTCTTCCTTGGTGTCATTATGTCGTTTCAGAGTTACTATGTCATTTTGTATTGGTTTCATTGATTTTGCAGAGGGACAGCTTGGCTACCCTTCTGTTGATACCCAACCCACACCCCGTAGAGTGGCTTCTTTACGGTCCAAAATTGTTGCTATTGCTGCAGCAAACAAGCATACTGCTGTAGTTTCTGATTCAGGCGAAATTTTTACCTGGGGTTGCAATAGAGAGGGTCAGCTTGGTTATGGCACCTCAAACTCCGCATCTAATTACACCCCTCGTGTAGTTGAATACTTGAAGGGAAAGAATTTAACTGGAGTTTCTGCCGCAAAATATCATACAGTTGTGTTGGGATCTGATGGAGAGGTAACTATTTGCAGACCAAAGACTTCCTTTTCCTTGACGCATTCATAGGAGAATGGCATTTGGGTCCTTTGTATGGGAATTCTTGACACTTTGGTTCCTCAAAAGTTGAATCAATGACCCTGTTGAGATTGATAGTTGCGATCTACCGTATTCATAATCTCCTTTTTTTGGAGTAGGGACCAAAATGTTAATAATTCCCTTACAAGGGAGTCCAATGTCATTCTTTCTCTATTTATCACAGACCACAGTCATCACCCTATTTGGCAGGTGTATACTTGGGGTCATCGCCTTGTTACTCCAAGACGAGTAGTCATTACTAGGAACTTGAAAAAAAGTGGAAGCACTCTTTTGAAGTTTCACCGCATGGAACGACTTCATGTAATTTCCATAACTGCTGGAATGGTGCATAGCACTGCTCTTACAGATGACGGTGCATTGTTCTATTGGGTCTCCTCGGATCCTGATCTTAAATGCCAACAGGTTATTTGATTCAAACTTGATTTTAAGTTATACCCAGATAGGCACTTTGATTGGGGACAGTTCCTCACTATTTTTTATAATAATTGATAATTAATTGAAAAATTTGTGTACAGCTATATGCTATATCTGGAAGAAACATGGTGAGTATATCTGCTGGAAAGTACTGGACTGCAGCTGTTACGACTACTGGTGATGTTTATATGTGGGATGGGAAGGAAGGCAAGGAAAAGCCACCTGTTGTGACTCGGTTGCATGGTGTGAAGAGGGCTACTTCAGTTTCAGTTGGTGAAACGCATCTACTGATTGTGGCTTCCCTCTATCATCCTGGCTATCCTCTTGATGTGACGAAGACTTCCCAGGAGCTCAAGTTGAATCATAAGGATGATGTAGAAGAGATTACAGAAGATATTTTATTTCAGGATTTGGAATCCGATAATATGACTTACTGTATACAAAAAGATAATTTTGGGAAGAGGATTGTACCTAGTCTAAAAAGCCTCTGTGAAAAGGTCGTGGCAGAGTATCTAGTGGAGCATCGAAATGCCATCCAGTTTCTTGAGATTGCTGATGCTCTAGGAGCCAGTGATTTGAAGAAATATTGTGAGGTACGCTTCTTCTCGAATGGCCAAAAATACTTGAAAGTTATTTTGTCTAACTAGAAAGTTTGAGGAGAATAATAGTTCATCAAATGGGATCTGTGGTTTTGCTTCTTGTTCAACTTGATCATGTAATATTTGATTATTTTTTATTGTATAAATTATGATATATCAGTCAAAATAAATGCCATCGACGATATCTCCTGAGAAGATAATTCTAGTGAAATTACCCTGGACCGCTGAAATATTACTATTTTAAATTTCATCCTTGAAAAAAATATTTTATGGTCCTGAGAATATTTATTTCTTAAAACCCAACATGATAGAAGTTGATTTGATTACATGTGAAGAAATATTTTGACATGGCAAACGGTTAGGATAAACATAATTGATGTCAGCAGTATGACGCGTCAGCATGTTTTTAGAGACAGAAAGCAACTTTTGAATTAGGCCTGAATGAAAAATTATCACTCTTTGAATATTGTGAAAAGAGATTCAGGGACAAGATTGAAATTAGTGGAATTTTTGAAGACCTAAGGTGTAAATTAGCAAAAATTTTGGTAGTTTTTTGGGCTTTTCAGGTCATGTAATGCTTCATGCATATATCAGTGAGATTTGAATGGCCTTTGCTGTTATACTTGATTGATTTGTCCTATATGTTAAGGTGGTCTGATTATACTGAAGCTCTTAAATGCTTATTCCAGGAGACTGTCATTCGCAACCTTGATTACATCTTTACAGTTTCATCGCATTCTGTGAAAAATGCATCACTAGATGTTCTGGCCAACCTTGAGACATTGTTAGACCAGAGATCATCTGAACAATGGAGTCACCGCCTACTCCCTACTGTAACTGCTCCTTTTCCTCCCACCATAAACAGTGAAGAGGGTGATAGTGACATGGATTTTAACAGGGCTCATGACAAACCAATGAAATTGAAGTTGGAAAAAGATCAAAGACTAGATTCATTTCTCCAGCCTAAGGATGATCCCAATCAAGAAAACTCCAAAGTAGTTCGAGCTCTAAGGAAGAAGTTGCAGCAGATTGAGGTGCTTGAAGCTAAGCAATATAAGGGTCAGCGCCTTGATGACCAACAGATTGCAAAGCTTCAGTCTAAGTCAGCTCTGGAGAGGTCACTTGCAGAGCTTGGTGTTCCAATTGAAACTTCACGGTATAAAGAGTTGTCTTCTCTGCATTCAGAAGGGAAAGGTAATAAAAAAGGTAAACTATCAAGAAAACAGAGAAAGAACAGCACATCAAGTGTGGTGCAGACCGAAGTGGAATCTATTTCTGCTGGAGCAGAAGTAATATCAGAACCTGCAAAGGACATGTTGGGCATTAAAATCTTGGATGCCTCTGAGATAAAGGTTTCCAGCTTCATTTTTCTTGATTGTATCAACGTGAATAATTTGCATAGTTCCTTTCATATTTTGTGTTGCTTAAACTCTTATTTGATAGGTGGAAGAATCTACTTGTGAACAAACTACAGCCAATGAAGGTGCAATGGATTCGGCTATTGTGATCCAGAAGAAAGACAATTTAGCGTTGCCAAACAAGTGTCAGTCACTGAAAAATTCCAAGAAGAAGGGCAAGAAAGGTGGTCTTTCTTTGTTTTTGAGTGGTGCCCTTGATGATGCCCCAAAAGAGGTGGCTTCCCCTCCACCAATGCCGAGAAATGAGGGTCCTGCATGGGGTGGGGCCAAGTTTTTAAAGGGTTCTGCTTGTCTTCGCGAAATTCAGGTTGAGCAGAGCAAAATAAAGGAAAACAAGCCAGGTAAGAGCAAACACCAGGAGCAAGACCTCTCTGACAGTGGCAGTGGGGGGAAAATATCATTAAGTTCATTTCTTCCTTCCAGCCCAATACCTTTTGCCTCAACTCGAAGTTCCCAGGTATCTGATGGAGAAAAAGGTACCCCCTCTTGGTCTGCGTCCAGAACCCCACCTCATCTATCTCGGCCATCTTTAAGGGACATTCAAAGGCAGCAGGTTTGTGAATTCATGCTTCCTCCCATTTGTTTATGGAGGTCCATGCCCGTGTTGCATTTTCTGTGTACTGTTTGCTGTGGACCAGTTAGGATGATTTCTTTATCCCTGCCTGCTTACGTATAGATGATGTATTATATAGCCTTTGCTGTGAATAGTCCTTCTGTCCTGGGGCACATTTCATTGAACTGAGGGTTGTTTGTCCTATAAACAGGGAAAAATGCATGAGAGCTTGTCCCGTAGTCCGCAGGCCAGAACAACTGGATTTGCTGTTGGTGCAGGTCAAGGCTCGCCATCTGAACCTCCAGGGATGAACCGTTGGTTCAAGCCAGAGGCGGAGACAATATCCTCAATCCGGTCTATTCAGATTGAGGAAAAGGCCATGAAGGATCTCAAGCGCCTCTACAGAAGCGTTAAGGTTGTTAAAAATAAGTCTTGAGGGTTGAGCTAAGGCTATTTCATTTATTTGTCGAGGCAGCAAGGCATGATCTTCTCTGTTCTCTTTTTTCTGCAACCCCTTCCGTGTTCTCTTCTCGGAAGTTCTCTTTTGCGGTCATAGTCCAGTGACTAGAAATTAGCCTGTACATGTAGTTGCGCCGTATATTTTTTCTTGTTATTCCCTTTTTTCAAATCCAATGTAGTTTCTAGCTTCGTAGCATACTTAGGTCATAACAATCTAACATCACAGTACTTTATGACTGAGTTCACTACTTTGTACTCGTTTCTTACTCTCCGAAGTTTGGAGAATGGCACGAGAATTATACGGTCCGTCATGGGGATAAACTGACCTGTCATTTTTGGTAGCATCAATTTTACGTTTGTACTCGGTTGACAGAAGCACCTGCACTGTTATGGAAATCCCTTCTGTTTTAGCACGAGGGCTAATGTTATTTATGCATCTTCGTTCATCATGTTTGTGTTCCGAACGAAGCTATTATCTGGGTTTAGGCTTTGTGCTGTTTAGCCTAGGTCCTCCTTAAGAAGCATTAGTTTTTAGATTGCTTTTTTAGTTTTGTCGTTGAGCTTTTTATGCCTGATGGGCTGTAACCAAACGTTTCATTGGGTAAGAGCACTTTTTAACTCCATCCTTTAATGCAGGTCCTCGTTTGTAGTTATTTTATAAATATAGGTCCTAATCCAGATTTTTAGATGCAGTTAGTACTTCTTTTTCCCCAAAAATTACCTTATAGAAAATCCAAATTATCTGTCTTTTTTTAACCTTGAAAATCTAAAATATCTGACACCCGAAATATCTAAAGGCGCATTGTTTCTCATGGCATTTGGATTTGATTGAGGACATGATTGAAAAAGAGAGAAATTAAGTTTTACACGTTACATAGGTTTTGATCGCTCTTTGAATTTTGTATTTTTCGAAGTGGGGGACAAATGCTAAGGGAAGAAGGAAGTATTTCCATTATTTTCGAATAAATTTGTCTGGTTTTGTTTCCCAAAAAAAAAAAATTACCCGCACTTCTCTTAATCAAAGGTGACGGATAATTTTAGATCAAACCGAATGACAACAGAAAGGTCTGTAGGCTTGACTACAAAAAGTGATTGGCATGTTCATACGGACAGACTGAAAAAGTTGAATTCTAGTAGGCAAGAAGCCAAGCCAAGCAAACCAAAAAAATACTCGTAGATAAAAAGAAAAAAGTTACCAGAAATAAAATTTGAAGAAGAAGATTTATGAATATGAGCACTGAGTAGGCATTGGCCAGTTTATGTTCATGACAGACTCCGCGTGATTTCAAAGAGATAGTGTCCCTACGCCAGCAACACGACTTTCAGGTCCTGTTTCATACCTTTAACAATAATAATGTTTTGCTACCATTTTTCATTCAAAAACACGAAAGGAGTTTTTCATCTCTAAAATTGTTTCTTTTGTTTTACTATATATGCCAAAAAAAAATTCAACAATAAAGATAGAATATTAAAAGAAGAGACTCCATTTGTATTTCGGCCTGGCAGATCGCAAACAAGAGTTGAAGGTTTTCCTAACTTGGGAGCCTTTATAGCTGCCCTTCTCCTGTGGCATGATCTGTCATGAAGCAAGTGGACATCAGTCACATTTGTCCCCTCTTCCTTTATCCAACCATGCTTTGCAACTCCACTTTTTTCCTTAAAAAAATATATTTTATCATTAAATTTTTAAACACACACAGACACTTAAAATTCAAAAATGTATATATTTATTATATTATATTAAAAAAGACACAACTGTCCTGTGTACTAATTTGTAAATTTGATAGCAGTAGTAAATTATCATTCTCATGGATAGATCCTCCATTTGCGCGGTAAGAAGGCAGAACAAGAAAAGCAAAGAGAGAAAGAAAAGAGAGATTGATGGGAATGATGTGGGGGCAATATTTGTGACTACGTGCAGAAAATGGTCCTCGACAAAAGTAAAAGGTGATAGTTTTTGATGTGATTACACCAACAACAACAATAATATGTGAAGAAACACTATAAATCTTTCGGATCACTTCCCTATTATCTAATCTGATTGTTTTTGTGTTTTCTGTCCTCGTTGATGCGTCCAAAATTATAAAGGAGATGGAAATAATAAGAGAAAGCACTATCCGGGAGATTGTTTATGATTTGAGGAAATTAATATAATATAAGTAGCAGACCTCTTAAGCAATTTACTAACTTTCTGTTTCTCTTATAAAGTTTAGGCGGGATGCGTTGCAGACTCATCAAGGTTAAAACAAGTATTAAGGCTCAGAAAATAGTTAGAGATTTTCTATGGAAATTTGAATCTTGAAACGCAAATTAAAACATAGATAATTTGACAGTAGGCGCACATGTATAAATTATAAAAAGGATAAAAATAAACTAAAGGATCGATTGAGAGAAAATGTTGATCTCTTTAGGTTTGGTTGTTTATAAGTTTATTATTGTAAACACAAGTCGTAAAATTATTGTTCCCATATTTCGTAGAAAGCTTTAAATTATAGGAATGAAAGTATCGAATATGAGAGAGAGAGAGAGAGAGAGAGCCATGTTTAATTATTTGGGTTGGTAACAGATTAGGCATTTGATAAAACCAGATGATATGGGAAGTAGTTAAGCCATCAAAGTTGAGCAATCATATTACGATTTTAATGGAAAGTGAAAGTCAAGTGTCTAAATTAAATTAAAGGACCTAGTTAGATGCTGTAGGTGATAACACGTTTTCAATTATTAGTGAAGACAAAGAAAAGCACTAACTATCTTTTAACAACTCCAACTCAGAAAATATTTTACACGATCCTCAGGGTCAAGTAAGATATCTTCACTCTGCTACCATCCCTTCTTCTTCCTCTTCTGCTTCTTCTTGAATGAACAACGCCATAGAGAGAAAGAAGCAAAGAAAAGCTAAGTCGGAGGGATTCTAGAAAATGATAATATCCCTATTCACATGATGGCCTTGTTGAACTAACTAGCTACTTCGCATACATGTGTTTGCCACATGCTCACTGCTCAATGCTTCAATGGCTCACCAACCCACTATCTATGCAAGTTCATTTTTTTCAATAGATATGAGATGGCCAAAAGTAAAGAGGGTTTTTGCAGAAGATTGAAAATTTAACCTTTAATTATTTAATAACGATGGGTATGATTAATTTATTGAATTTTTTAAAAATTAAAAAGCTAAGGGATGTGTGGGTATATATATGTAGAGTAAGAGTGGTTAGTGAGCATAAATATGAGCATGTGAAGTGTTTAGGAATGTGTGGTGAGTGCGTATGGGAGAGAGTGACAGTAACATGTACTAAAAGGCAAGAATAGCACAGCTGAGACCCTTTTCCTTCAAGATGCATATAACTCCATTGCTGTAAATATCTTTTTCCCTTGTTAGTATAATTTCTTTATCGCCACTATGCCTACAATGTGACTCCAACGACGACCCTAACTTTAATATATATGATGATGATTATGATTAAAATAACAAGGAAAATATAAAAAAAGGGACCTCTGTGTGGAGGCCCATGCTTTGCTTTCCCTTTAGGAGCCCCCCCTCGTTACTTTCAGTGCTCTCCTTTTCCCAAAGAGACACTGTAAAAGTCTCGACTCTAAGCAATCTCCTACTCCTTTTGCCTTAGTACAGGACAACCATCTATATACTATCCCTCCCAAGAACCCACCTTCCTTTTTCATTATTATATCCTTATAATGACCTGTCTCTATTATGTTCCCTTTTCTTTATTTCTCACTCTCCCCCCTCTCTCGTCTCTGTCCTCCATTTCATTTATTAAATACTAGGGTATTGATTGGGAACTTGAGTGCTTGCAGGCCTTTTAATTTGTTGCTTCTTTAACCTTGAGAAGGAGGAAACCGAGAGGAAAAGAAAGAGGAGCAAACAGTTTACTCGTGGAATGGAGCACGAAGGGAGAGGGAGAGAGTTGTCGAAGAAGCTACATATAAACAGATGTCTAAGTAAACTTCCATATGTGTGTCTATATATATATATGATCATTCCTCTTCCAGTCGTTACTGGTAAAGTGAGAGAAATCATCGGACGACAAGGGAAGATATTAAATCACCGATTAAAGCTTGATATCTGCACACGGAGGCCAAGAAGGAAAGAGGGGTGTCGGGAATGAAGTTTGATCCGAAATCATTGATGTCTCCGTTCCATTTTCTGATCAATTTGGATTGATTGTGACCAAAGACAAGTATATATAGATAGAAAGAAAGAGAAAGAGATTTGTGATCCAAGACCACCACATATATCTTATCATCTCTCTTACTCTCGGATCTCTTTCGCTTTCCTTCTTGATCTACTAATTACTGCGCGCGCGCGCGCATATATACTGTGTGTTCTTGTTATATTCGATCGATGCATGAGGGATCATACGGATGGCTGGATCTCGGACCAGGCTTCATTCCTCACACCTATCTTTCCTCGTACAAGTCATTCGTCCGCTCATCGCCGCCGCCATCAAGCCAAAGGGGTAAGCCTTGTTTGTTTTTCCTTGCTATTATTATATCGTTTGATTATCAAATATGAACAGATCCTCATATATAAGATCGTGCGGGGGTTTCTTTTCGGCTCATTTTAATTTCGTTTACACTGATTTGATTTATGAGTTTGGGGTTCTGGGGAGAGATCCAGGATTGGAAAAGGTCTTTATGAAGCGAAAGATGAAAGATTTTATTATCATACATATATATTCCTTCTAGCTATATTTGCAGCTTTAGAAGCTCAAACAGCAACACACAGTGTACATATCTACTATATATGTAACTTCTTAATTAAAGTTCAAGAGCAGGTATCTAGCCAGACCAAATATACCTCAATTTATAGAAACCACACCGCTATCTTTATTTTTATACCAAATAATGATGCACTAGGCCATATTCCTATTGAGGCATCTTTAAAGATAGTAACTGTTGGCCGGTTTTTGCTCCTTTTTTATCTTTCCAAGTATATATCTTTTTCGATGATTAATAAATAATTGGTGTATGTTCTAGATTGTGATCATTTTCGTCCATTATAAGGCAATTGTTGCTCAACAGTTATACCTCTTGTTCAAGGGCGACTGATGCTAACGAACAGAACCAGGAGTAGTGTGCGCTTGCGCGTGTGTGTTCATCGTCTTATATTCTATACCTCTCTATTATTTTCAGTACTGCTTTGAAAATTTCCACTGTTCATCATTTTGTTCACGAACTGGGACAACGTGCGTCTATGTAATGCGTGGATTTCCACTCCTCGTAGCGAGTCTGAAACAATATATATGTGGGTGGATACTTGTTAAGAAACCCTAGTTCGTAAACATGTTCATTTCTCGTGTGCACTATGCATTTACAAATTCAATGAGCAGATAAATGACACACACACATATATATAACAGAGTTGATTTGCTTTGGCAAATATATATATGTATGTATGTATATGTATAGCGTCATCTTCTTGGTGCCAACAGAAGCTACCAAGTGACATGGTCTCCCTCTCCCCAGTGGCTTAACAGTAGTTCTGCTTTTCTCGTAACACTGGGCGGCCCAGAACTCGAAAACGGTAAGTAATCTTGTCCTTGGCTTTCACTTTTCTGGGCGTCAAACACACACAAACACGAAATGCACAGTACAGCAGCGCCTACAGGGTAGATTTCTGGTGTATCTGATGACATATACTGCATTGTACAGCATGCTTGCAAAGGCAATGTCGTTTGATTCCGATTCCTTGAGTTTTAAATGCACTAATCCATCCCTTAATTATTATTCTATGGCACACTTACACAAGTGAGATGCATGCTTGCTGCTGTATATGCATAAACTATTATTTATTTTACTGAATTTTATGCTCTTCCTTTTCTTATTCCATTACATGAATTGTAAACTAAGCAACAAAACAAAACAAAAACAAAGTTCCTTACGTGGGGGGCAAAAGCCACCCACGTGAAAAAGAAGTGCATGACAGAGCTAGGGTATTGGCCTGAAGCGAGTGAAATCTGGAAATTTCCCATTCACGGTTCCCTTTTTTTTTTTTTTTTGTATACATCCTTCCTTCAGATTACCATTTACTTTTCTTCTTGTGGATGCGTATACATGTAGGTAACTACGTATACATGCAAAAATAATAATATGTGAACTTACTGATGAGCTTTATTGCATGGATATATGTAGATGTTAGTGTTACAATTTGTTTTTCTATAAAATTGCTATTTGAGGTAATTTTAGCCAGTTATTTGTTTTGGCTCCATGAGTACATTGATTATGCATGACGTATCACTATTTAATTATAAATATATTAATGTTAGGGTGCATTTATTATCGGTCAGATCACGGACGCATCAATTTCATTTAATTATAGTAAATGAAAACATATATATCAATTAACCCCATCGGCTATATATGAATTATTGGCTTTAACGGGAAAATATTTCCATAGCTAGACCCCCTCTGTGTGTGTGTGTTGTGTGTGTGTAGATAATATAATGGCTATGAGCATCAGAGATATCTTGAACTGCAACCCAAACAGTGGGCATACTACTGCTGCATATATTATGTCCCCACAGTTATACCCATTTAATTTCTTCTGTTTTACCCTTTTCATTTTCATCCAAACTTTTGTTTTTCTTAATTGCACATAAATTTCGTATTCAGTAACGCATTATATATATCGGCAAGTCTTCATTTTCTTTTCATATCATAAAATGCTAAAGTCGGCGAAGTTCAACGTAACTAAAGAAAATATCAAAGCAGGTCATTGCGGGCTATACATGAAAATACCCACGCAGCCCTAAGCTTTGTATGGTTCTTGGTTGTTTAAACTTGACACGCATGTCTTGTTGGGCTGCTGAATTCTCTGCACAAGATTTCTTTTTTGGGGTTATATTTTCAATATAAAAATCTTAGAAGTGGAAAATTATATATCGAGAGATTTGGATTCAGCGTAATTAAGGAGCACAGGCTCACTAAATTATTTATTAGATTAAAGAGTAAGTTTCAACCTTTTTACTTCTTTATTGACTTCCTTTGAGCATAAAGCCTCTTGGTTCTCGATTTCTTTTTAGGTAAGCTAACTGATCAACAAAGGTTCTGAAATTCTTCGTCTCAAAACAGCATCTGAGGTTTTCAGGCTGCTGTTCAACTACAACCTCGACTTCTCACATCTTAAAAAAGGAATATCTTTTACAAATTAAATTATTAATACGATGGTATCATAGTTAGTACTACGTCCGGTTCTTAATATAAAAACTAGTTTGAATTTCAATTTGGTTTTAAATATAAAATCCCAATTCACTTTGTCTTTCATATTTATTTATTTATTTTCCAAAGTACTCCTTATAGTAGTTGCACATGTTAAAATACCCTTACTAATACACATGATTAGCAAAAGTATTTTAAAAAAAAAAACACATAGTTATTACAAATGACTAACTTGACTAATTGTCTTAATCTATTCAAATTAGTTAACTAACTCTTATATTAAGAATACGAGGTCGTACATATTTCTTGCATAAGTTTTCAGTTATAATTTGTTTTTCTTTATACCAACGGGGATTGGGTCTAGCAGAAGGGGCTAGTCCCTCACAACGTGGCGAACTAAGGTTCAAATCCCCGCTGGGAGATGTACTCACATTTAGCGCCCGACAGTACCTCAAATAAGATTGTCTCTAATAGGAGGATACCTATGCTTCAAAAAACAAATTGGTTTTTTTTTTGTGGTGCAATGAGGCTGAGCCCAACAAAACATGAAAAAGATCAAACTACTCCCCGAATAGATCGACGAATTCAATCATAAATCATGTTTAGAAAATTCGTTTTAATATAAAGACTCAAAGTTTTGATTCCTGTACATGGTGGTGGCTAGTCCAGTCTTGTGATACTATAGCGCAGTATAACAATATAGCAGTGATTTATATATATATGGTGGGGTGTAGCCGACATTGTTAGATCCAAGATTAATGCAGGATTGCCGGGACAAATCAAATGTGAGTTTCGTTTTCCTTTGGGCTTTATGTTTGCCCTTTAATCATCATAAAGGATGCCGTCAAAGCCTTCTTTTGAATGAATTCTGATCCCCAATTTAAATGCAAAATCATTATGCTACTGTATACAAAGTTGCAGTTGGAACTTGGAACTTGATTTGAAACCTTGTCGCTCACACCTCTCCTCTTTCTGCTGGAATCATACCAACCCTTAAACACACATTTATCTAATAACTGATGCTTCTCCAATTCGTTACTGATTATTCAAATCCATCAACATTTTTTATCCTATTCGAAACCCAGAATATGTTCCACATTATTCTCCCATCATTAACAATCATATGATATGCTCAGTCTTCTAAACATGGTCCCCCAAACACAATGTCTCTGCTCGTATGTGCGTATGATTTCTTAGGAAGAAAAAGGGCATCTCCAATGTTGTTTTTATTATATACTAAGCGCACACCTATATGCGGTAGCAAATTATCATCAACAACGACAAAAAGTCGTGAACCTCCATTTTAGTTTTTATAGAGTTGATATTTGACTATCACGTGGATCTCTTCTGCTCTGAGCCATTACGAGTTTGGCTTCGGTGTGATTGGAGGCATATGTCGATAGCAAGTTGTATCCCACTGTCTTAGCATAATCACAATGTAGCCCAAGAGAAGAGAATGAGATCAATAAGAATACCTGGGAATGTGTGAAAAGGAGTGAGCCTCTTGCTCATATCTTTGTCAAACTTCCCATTTAATATAATAAAGCTGTGTTCGGTGACAAATCTCAGTACGTCGGTGACACAAAAGCCTTCCCACCCCCATTTCTCGCTCCCCCTGTTCTCATGTGGGCCCTTTAAATCAAGGGACGGCCATAAAGCAAAGGCTACATTTGACAAAGAATCTTCTCTGCTAAGAAAATCCAATAACAAGTGAAAAGGAAAACTATTATCCTAACAATTAAAGCCGAGCAGAGCATGAAAAAGGAACAACATACACAGCTGGAGAGACCCACAAAACTCAAAGGGTCTAAAGGTGCTTGAAGAATAAGTTATCATCGTTTCACATTTATTTCTTAGTCCCTGTTTCTCTGGGTTTCCATCTTTTTCCAACCATAAGCGACTCACATTCCACAACCTGTAATATATAACTTTTATGGCTATAAAAAAACATATGAACAGAACAAAGTATGAATTATTACTTGCCTCCTTTCCAACTTTTTCTGAAATAATATATAAGCAGCACTCATGATATCCATCCCCCCTTCTTTTTTTTTCTTCCTTCATAACCATACTCGGTTGGCTAGGCCATGAGTTTTGAGCCCTGTAAGTCACACCTTTGCTTCCTGCAAATTAAACTTGTGAGGGACAATTACGAAGAACGAGACTAAACAGGTATTATGGGCACAGTTCGTAAACTAATAGTAGAGGTTGTGGACGCTCGAGATCTTCTCCCGAAAGATGGGCGCGGCACTTCCAGTCCATACGTGATGGTGGACTTCTACGGCCAGCGGAAACGAATCCCGACGGTGGCTCGTGACTTGAACCCCGCCTGGAATGAAACGTTGTCGTTTAATGTGGGTAAGCCTTCTGATATTCTCGGTGACATGCTTGAACTCGATGTTCTCCATGACAAGAATTACGGTCCCACCCGACGCAACAATTTCCTGGGTCGAGTTCGGCTGAGCTCTTCTCAGTTTGTGCGTAAAGGCGAAGAAGCCCTGATTTACTACAAGTTGGAAAAGAAAAGCTTTTTCACCTGGGTTCGAGGTGAAATTGGGTTGAAAATCTATTACGCGGACGAGGAAATTCCACAGCCTTCTCAGCCGCCACCGCCGGCACCAACAGAAACACCGCCAGAGGAAGCAAAGTCCGAGAAAGCACCAGCACAAGAGGAAGCGAAGCCCGATGCAACAGCAGCCCCAGAGGAAGCGGAGGCAAAGCCACCATCTGAAGCAGCAGCAGCGGAGCCAGATAAAGTCGAACAGTCTGAGGCGGCGGCTGCTCCACCTACGGAACCACCACCGGAAAGCGACAAGACCAGTGAAGAGCCAGCACCTGCTGAAGCTCCCACACCTGAAACTGAAAATGCAGCTCCTGATGCAGAAAAACCAGTTGTGCCTGAGCAGCCGCAACCGCCGACAGTAGAAGACGCCGATCAGGTGAAAGCTTCACCACTGGAAACATCTAGAACAATGCCTGAAATAAGGTTCAGTGGGCTCAACGTTCCACAAGGACCACAACCAATTCGAAGGGCAGCATCCGCAGCGAGCTTCACGTCCGACGTGTCGGACACCATGTCCATGGAGCGATGCTCGTTTGATCTAGTTGAGAAGATGCACTACCTCTTCGTTCGGGTCGTGAAAGCACGATACCTGCCCCCTAACTGTCATCCCTTCGTGAAAATTGCAGTTTCCGGTCATCAAGTCACATCCAAGCCCGCGCGTAAGACCACCTTATTCGAATGGGACCAAACGTTTGCTTTCGGCCGCGACTCCCCCGAATCTGCTTCCCTCCTTGAAGTCTCCGTGTGGGACCCGCCTTTTTCAGCTCCCGCCACATCAGACGAGGACTCTGGCTGTTTTCTGGGCGGGCTTTGCTTTGACGTGTCGGAGATCCCACTCAGGGACCCGCCAGACAGCCCCTTGGCCCCACAGTGGTACCGATTGGAAGGTGGCGGGGCCCGCTACGGGGACCTTATGCTTGCCACGTGGGTCGGCACGCAAGCTGACGAGTCATTCCCTGACGCGTGGAAAACGGACACGGCTGGGAGTGTTCATTCTCGCGCCAAGATCTACCAATCCCCGAAGCTGTGGTACCTGAGAGCCACGGTGCTTGAAGCTCAGGACATTCTGCCGTTGACGGTGATGAAAGAGGCATCCTTCCAGGTTAGAGCTCAACTCGGATTTCAAGTGCTCAAGTCAAAAGTCTCCGTTAGTCGTAACGGCATTGCTTCGTGGGACGACGATTTAATCTTCGTCGCAGCGGAGCCTTGGAGTGACCAGCTTATTTTCACTCTTGAAAATCGGCAACCTAAAGGATCGATCACAATGGGTGTAGTGAGAATACCTCTGACTAACATTGAGAGAAGGGTAGATGACCGTAACGTAGCATCCCGTTGGGTCCCTTTTGAGGATGTCAACAACGACAAGAGAGTTTACAAGGGCAGGATCCACCTGCGCTTGTGCTTCGATGGGGGGTATCACGTGATGGATGAGTCTGCTCACGTGTGCAGCGATTTCCGTCCCACGGCAAGGCAACTTTGGAAGCCGCCGGTTGGCACAGTTGAACTAGGAATCATCAGATGCAGGAACCTCGTACCCATGAAAACTGTAAACGGCAAAAGCTCCACGGATGCGTATTGTGTAGCCAAATACGGCAACAAATGGGTACGTACTCGAACCGTATCCGATAGCTTGGATCCCAAGTGGAATGAGCAATACACGTGGAAGGTGTTTGATCCCTGTACGGTTTTGACCATTGGAATCTTTGATAGCTTCGGAGTACACGGAGTAGATTGTGAGGAAGAAGCCGCAAGACCCGATTTTCGCATCGGCAAGGTACGAGTCCGCATATCCACGTTGCAAACGGGTCGAGTGTACCGAAACACATACCCGTTACTTGTTTTGACCAGCGCAGGGACGAAGAAGATGGGTGAAATTGAGATTGCCATCCGATTCATTCGAACCAGTCAAAGGTTGGATTTCCTTCAAGTGTACTCACAGCCAATGCTGCCGTTGATGCACCACATCAGACCCTTAGGATTGGCGCAGCAAGAAATGTTGAGAAACACGGCGGTAAAGATCGTGGCGGGACACCTGTCGAGATCAGAGCCACCGTTGAGAAGAGAGGTAGTGCTTTACATGCTAGATGCAGACTCTCACAACTTCAGCATGCGGAAGGTACGTGCTAATTGGTACAGAATCATCAACGTGGTCGCGGGGTTCATCGACATCCTACGGTGGATAGAAGATACACGTGGGTGGAAGAATCCAACGGCCACCATCCTCGTGCATGCATTGCTGGTGATGCTGGTGTGGTTTCCTGATTTGATAATTCCGACGCTGGCATTTTACATATTCGTGATCGGAGCGTGGAACTACAGGTTCCGGTCAAGGGATCCACTTCCGCACTTCGATCAGAAAATATCACTGGCGGAGGTCGTGGATCGGGAGGAGCTGGATGAGGAATTCGATACGGTGCCGAGCAGCAGGTCGGGAGATATGATACGGGTGAGGTACGATAAGTTGAGGATGCTGGGGACACGCGTGCAGACCGTACTGGGCGATATAGCGGCGCAGGGGGAGAGAGTGCAGGCGTTGGTGACGTGGCGAGATCCACGTGGGACTGGCATATTTGTAGGGATGTGTTTGGTTGTGGCGTTAATGCTGTACCTGGTGCCGCCCAAAATGGTGGCGATGGCTTTTGGGTTCTACTATTTAAGGCATCCCGTGTTCCGTGATAGGACGCCTTCGCCTGCCCTTAACTTCTTCAGAAGGCTTCCTTCATTGTCAGATCGAATCATGTGATACATTAGCGGAATGTACGACTCTGAGTTGCTTTCTTTCTTCTTGTTTAATGAAGCAAAGTGAACTATAGATGAGTTATATATGTTCATTGCTCTGTTACGCTGGCGTATTAATAAACATCTCTCTTCAATAATCTGATTTTAGGCTTTAGCCATGGGATTGGGTGGAATGCCGAGATTTAAAGAGCTGTGTCGTTTGTTGTCCCTTGAATACATCCCAATCAAACAAAAGTTACACAACCACACAAGTCACTTCAAACGGCAATATATGTTCTAGAAAGATCTTATTTGATGCCGTCTTTGTTCTTCCAGTTAATTAAGGTCAAATGCGTGTCTGAGAAAGGCACGCAGACACAAGGGCTCCACGGAAGCAAGGAAAAGGACATCTATTTAAAAACAAAAAACAAAATTGATAAAACGAAAAAAGTGGTCCGTCTGATCAGTTGTTGCGCCGCATCAGCTTTGCGACGCAGAAGGAATATCTTTAACCCACCCAAAACATATTTCATAGAAGCTCTTTTTCTTTTTTTGGTGACAAATTTCATTGAAGCTTTTATGTATACGTAAAATGAACTTTAAATAAATCAGGTCTGGAGCTCAGACATGATTCCGAATTTAAAATTGGCTGCAACATTGCTCATAGTTTTTTTTTTACTAGTAACGTTGGATTTTTTGACTTCCCGGTGCATGAGAACACAAAACTCATATGGTCATAAACCCAGTTTTGATGCTCATTGCGGTGGTAACTACTGTGGTATTTATTGTTGTAGTGAAATCTACATCATATTTAAATCTTGGCTTTTTAATTAAATTTGAACTGTTGAAGTTTAATAAATATCATAAGTATTAAAACTAGTTTTTTGGTAATAGTATTAAAACTAGTTGAATGCATTAGAAAACATTTTCACAACAGGGATTGGTGGCAATAGCGTTCTTCATCCCTACACAAGAATTTCTTTTCTTTTGTTTTTTTTAATAAGATAATACTACCTCCGATCCTAATTATAAGAGCTACTTAACTAATTCGAGAAGATTAAGGAAAGAAATCAAGTTAGTTATTTGTAATAGATATATGTTGTTTTCTTAAAATATCTTTGGTAATCAAGTGTATTGCTAAAACTACTATTGATAAAAGGGTTACTTTGAAAAAAAATGAATAAACATGAGAAACAAAGTGGATTGAGGTCTTATATTTAAGAATAAAATAAAACTCAAATAAAGTATTATATTAAAACAGGAGTAGTTTTTTTTTTTATCATTACTTTGACCGGCTGACCCAATGAAACACAAATAATTGCGCAAATGACCCAATTTCTTCGACGCAATGGAGATGATAATGTTTATAATTGGTGAGAATCTTGGGTTGGCTCCACGCAATGATGCGCTAATATCAAATCAATATCCATCCAAAATTATTTATAAAAAAACCAATCAGCCACTGAATTCTGCTCATAATTAGGTAATAACGCTGACAACCCCCTGTCTCTCATGAAATTCAACCCGCCGGCGTCCCCTTAACTGATGACGTATTAAATTTGTGAGCAATAAAAAATAGTTTCTGATTTTTTTTAAAAAAATCCGTGCTCCAGTTCCCTTGTTAGGAGAACAAGTTTGTGATGTTTAAATTATGTCCATGAAATAAATAAATAATACCCTGTAATGATCCGGTTAGCTAATAATATATAGTTTTTTTAATAAATGAGGGATTATGAGTTCATACGCACAAAATATGTCTAATGCTAAATTTAAATGAGACCTCGTTTAAAAATGGGTTGTATTGTCACTAAAAAACTTGCCGTTCTCTGTATGTTTATTCATGACTGCCAAAACAAGGGGAACACTGATTTGTCTATCGTATGATGATACTGACCGTTCAGCTGCTTTTTTTGTTGTCAAAACAAAAGTTATTCAGCTAATTAAATATTGAAAAAATTTGCAAAAATGATGGCTGAATTTTAAAATTTCAAATCAAGAATTATTACAACATGTGTTACCATTTGCTTTTTGAGTATGGTAACTAGTATTAATTTAAAATTTTGAAATTCAACAATAATTTTTTAAGTTTTTTTTTAAAGATTATGCTGTATGATCACAGAAAAGACGATGAAAATGAAAACAATAAGTTTCAGGAGCTGAGCTTCTGTTTTTTTTTTTTTTTTTTGCCCTCATAAAAGAGAAAATTCAGCGAATGATGAATTATTCTTTTACTTCTTTTTCAAAGAAAGGTTTTCGGGCAGAGAGTTTTTTTGGTATTTGCCTTGAATATACTCCTCTGATTCTATTTATAGGACAGAGAAAAAAGATATTTTTTGTTCTATTTATAAGGCACTAAGAAAATTTTTTTATATAAATCTACAATGTTATCCCTCATTTATTAGTGTGTTTACTTTATTTACATGATTTATAATGTATATTAAATAAGGATAAAGTTGAAAAATTATTGAATTTTAAATGAGAATTAATAAAATTTTAGATTTTTTTATCTATTTAAAATATACTGAAAATAACTTATAAATAAGATAAAAAGAGTAAATACGTATGGCAGGCGTGTTTCCTGCAAGAGGATCTCAATATGATCACGTCCCGGTTGTTGATAAGGTTTTCCTTGTGGTTAGTTCCTTGAAGATAAAATAGACGTGACACGCATGATAAAATAATATTGAAAATTATGATGCATTTAAATCTTTTTAAAACCATCAATCAACATTTTTTTTAAACAAAACAAAATCAAAATCAATCATTCCAAGTTGACAAAACTGGATGTAATTTTTTTAGTATTTTGTAATACAATTGTAATCTTTTTACTGTTCAATTACTCCGCTTCAATATCTCGATTTATTCCACTAACACGGAGTATTTTGGAAGAAGATATTTAAGGTAAAAATATTTAAGATAACAACCACATCGACATCAAGAAGATATGCGTGTGTATTTGCCAACAACATCAAGAAGATGATCATTACCCTCACCTTCACGTCAACCAACTCAACTCACCTAAAGTTTCAGCGAAAAGTGAAATTCTCATCTGGCGCTGTTTTTCCTTTTCCCTCGTGTACAGCCGATGGTCGTGAGTTTTGAAATTTCAAAAATGTAAATCTAAAATCTCAGATTTTTTCATACCAAAGAAATGAATCCATCTAATTGTCGATGCGGAGCACAGGTGGCGTCCATGTCCCTACCTTCTCGGGTCTCCCTACAATGCCTATATATTTTGCTTCCCACCATTTTCTTCCCATCGCAGGCCGTCTTCGAAGATCTTATTCTCTGGATCTGGAGACGCAGAATAGTCACTGTAATTTCTCCTGTTCTGTCATTGCCGTCTTCATCTGCATAACTCGTCTTCTGCTTTCGTATTCTTTCTCTTCTGATTATTATTTACGCCATTAACCACAGTCTTGAAAAATGTTGACCTTGCATTTAAAATCTCATTCTCGATTGAAATACTGCTGCCATACAACTAATTCCAGCCTCCACACATAGTAGTATGTTGCTTCTTACCACCGGCGCCCGAAACGCGATTTAATTGTCCCTGACATCGTGGGAACCTTAATATAATGCATCCGAGTGATATGCTTACGGCTCTTAACTGGCTAAAATCATGGTCAGAGGATTAACTAACTCATTTCTGATATGTACGTTTCTATATATAGGAAGCTGAAGGAAATGGTTAAAATTCTCGTGTTCTTGGCGGGGCTCTGGCTGTTGGGGGGTTGGGCATACCTCTCAGTGCCCGAATACATGAAGTATAAAGACCCCAAACAGTCAATTGATGCGAGGGTCGAGGATCTTATGAGCCGCATGACTTTTGAGGAGAAGATTGGCCAAATGCTGCAGATTGAACGCAAGGTTGCGTCTGCTGATGTGCTCCAGAAATATTTCATTGGTAAAGACCACTACCCCCTCTCACCTCTATGATAGTTACACATCAATAAATGGAAAACGTCTCTTTTGCCTAGGGAGTGTAATGAGTGAGGGTGGGAGTCGTCCTGCTCCGCATGCTTCAGCTGAAACCTGGATTAACATGGTGAATGATTTTCAGAAGGGTGCTTTGTCAACTCGGCTGGCTATCCCAATGATTTATGGAATAGACGCTGTTCATGGCCATGGCCCTGTTTCCGGAGCAACTGTCTTTCCTCACAATATTGGACTTGGAGCTACCAGGCAAATAGATATAATACCTTAATATTAATGCTGCTCCATCTATTGTTACTTCTGAAAAATTTTATTTTCTGCGATAGGGATGCGTACTAACATACGTTCCATAAGACCTTTTGAATCAAAATCATTTCAAATGAGCTTGATACGAGCACAAACCTTGTTTTGAAAGTGAATTTAGGTCTCTTAATTACTAATTACTAGATCGAAAGAATTAGACAAAATGCTTCGGAGCTTTCTTTTTCGGGGCTCAGCATATATAGACACTACACATCTATTTTGATGGTCAGGGACCCAGAACTTGTGAAGCGAATTGGAGTTGCCACTGCCCTTGAAGTTCGAGCTACTGGAATTCCGTATGCTTTTGCACCCTGTATAGCAGTAAGTGACAAATATGAACTTCCTTCGCTTAAAGATGATTTTACTTTTAACCTATGACTTTTACTATTTATAGGTCTGCAGAGATCCGAGATGGGGTCGGTGTTACGAAAGCTACAGTGAAGATCCTAATTTAGTACAAGAGATGACTCAAATTATATCAGGATTGCAAGGGGACATTCCTGATAACTTATCCAAGGGCGTCCCTTTTGTTGGTGGAAAGTAAGAATATGTAGAATGAGGCATCTGGCTTTAAATTGTTATTTTCCTCTGCTTTTACGACTGAGGAGCCATTCATTACTTCCCCTGGTTATGTTTGATGTCTTGGGTTAATCTAAAGCTTTCCGTAAAATTCGGCCCCTCCTCTCGGTCCCGGTGCAGGACGGTTTATCAAATGACAGATCTTTATATTTACTGACACTTCCCGTGCTTTCTATCTCCCATTTTGGGATTATTTATTTCCTCACGGGCCACTAGAATAGAAATAGGGCGAATGGTAATCACATGCTGGATTCTTGTTATGATTCTTTTGAAGTACCTGTTTGCATTTTAAGCTGCAAAATACGGCAAAACTGTTCTGTTTCATGCTAGACTATGCATTTGAGGTTCAGTTTGCACTTAGTTATACAAATACTCGTATTTTCTTGCTCAGAGAGAAGGTTATAGCATGTGCTAAGCATTATGTGGGTGATGGCGGGACAATTCACGGGATTGACGAAAACAACACAATTATAGATAGAGATGGATTGATGAGGATTCACATGCCCGGCTACGTGGTCTCTATTAGCAAGGGTGTGGCAACAATCATGATCTCATACTCAAGTTGGAATGGAGTAAAAATGCACACCAATCGCAACCTCATTACTGGCTTCCTTAAAAGAAAGCTCCATTTCAAGGTAGAATTATTTGATCTCAATTGAAATTTTGAAGACCCTTTTGATAATCTTACCTGCACAAGATAATTAACTTGCGGCTTATTCCAGGGTTTTGTTATATCAGATTTTGAGGGCCTGGACAGAATCACCTCCCCACCTCGTGCGAATTACACTTATTCAATCGAAGCCGGAGTTAATGCTGGCATTGACATGGTAGGTCACGTCTACGCTTAACAGTCCATTATGGCTTTTTAAATTTTCATCCCATGATTAAGCATTTTGTCCTGTAATAAACTTTTCTTGCGATGCAGTTCATGGTTCCAAAGAACTATACAGAATTTATAGATGGTGTAACCAGACTGGTTAAAATGAAAGTCATTCCTATGACTCGAATCGACGATGCAGTGAGAAGAATTTTGCGGGTCAAGGTCATGATGGGTCTTTTTGAAAATCCATTGGCTGATTACAGCTTAGTCAAATATCTAGGAATTCAGGTCAGATAAGTGTCAAAAAATAAAAATTTCTTTTAAGTCTCAACGTTTCACAATTACATGGAAGGATAACCCTGTAACTTATATATCACCACAACCTGTACAGGAGCATAGAGAATTAGCTAGGGAGGCTGTAAGGAAATCATTGGTCCTACTGAAAAACGGTGAGTCACCTGGTGGGCCACTTCTACCTCTTCCTAAAAAGGCGTCAAAAATACTTGTAGCTGGAAGTCACGCTGATAATTTAGGCTATCAGTGTGGGGGCTGGACCATTGAGTGGCAAGGGGTCAGCGGCAATAATCTTATTAAAGGTGAAATTAGTTGCTAATTCCATTTTTCTTTAATATTTTCACGATGTTGCAACTTTTGTTATTGATGTGAGTGTTGGCATGCATCAGGGACTACTATTCTCACTGCTATAAATAACACAGTTGATCCAGAGACCGAAGTGATCTACAAGGAGAATCCCGACGTAGAATATATCAAGTCTAGTGAATTCTCCTATGCCATAGTTGTAGTAGGAGAGCATCCTTATGCTGAAATGCATGGCGACAGCAAGAACCTAACAATCCCCTATCCTGGCCCCGAGACCATTACAAATGTTTGTAGAGTTACAAAATGCGTGGTTGTCATAATCTCTGGTCGCCCTGTTGTTATCGAACCATACATTGCTTCAATTGATGCTCTTGTTGCCGCCTGGCTTCCTGGAAGTGAAGGCCAGGGTGTGGCTGATGTTTTATTTGGTGACCATGGTTTCACAGGAAAGCTTCCACGAACATGGTTCAAAACTGTTGATCAACTACCTATGAATGTTGGAGATCCTCACTACGATCCCCTCTTCCCATTTGGGTTTGGCCTTTCTACCAAACCCACTGAGAAATATTTGAAATCCTCACTATGATCTCCTCTTACCATTGTCAAAGCAGTCCTAGCTAGGTACAGTTTGAGGGATCAAAGCAGCTGTGGTAGTTATTATTTAGTTATACTTCGTGTTACATAAGATAGTTAAACAGGTATACGTTTATTTGTATATATATACAGACCCGATGTGTAATACAATCATCAATAATAAAAATTGAATAATACGTCTCGTTCACTTACCACCTAACCGCCTGACGAGTAGCTTAGCAGTTAGCTCCTACCCCATCACATTAAATACCTTCTGGCCTCGATTGATCTGTTTAGCTTCTGAGGAAAATCATTCACAGAAGAGGTACAAACAAGAAAGCTTGGGGAGCTGTGAGTGTTATATGCGGTCGAACTGCCAAAGTGGATACAAAATTAAACACTTGATAGTTTATCCTTTTCGATTATTGTCAAATCTATTTTCATTTTAACAAGTAATAATACGATAAAACTGAAGAAAAGGATTTTAATTGGAAATGTACAAAATTAATATACAATCCAGCTTCTTCTGCTTAATCCTTATAGTTAATATATGGAAAAGCGCTTACTTGAAAGTGTTTGATCAGGTCCTTTTAAATTGTTTGGATAACAGGGCAAGTATATATGTTAGGTATGGCATATATCGATATATGCTCGTTTTGGAAAATGGATAAAGAGTATCAAATCTCGACCGTCCTTTCGTCAAATAAGATGACATTACTCTGAGACTTGAGCAACAAAAAATATCATGACACTCTAGTGTTATTCAAAACGAAAAATGCTACCTCTGATTCTAATTATAAGATCTCGTTTGTAATCTACAAACGAAATTTTATAATTAAAACTAAAGGTAGTATATACACACAGCAATAGTATCAGTTGATTCAATAATTTTTATAACTTTGAGGTAGGAAAGACCCCCTCAATATCCTCGAAAAACAACCTCTTGAAAGCGTCCATATGGATTGCCTGCAAACAAATGGCGACGACGACGCCATCACCATCAGCGCTGTCCAGAACAAAAGCTATCCCTTCAGAATCCATGAAGCCTGGATCAAGATAAACGGGTTTTCCCCACCCAAAATCCGCCTCACGATATGAAAAATTCATCCAACTAATCACAAACAAATTCGGATTCCCTCTGAATTCTCCATCATATACACTCCTCGCAGGGTAGTAAAAATTGTACCTCACCGCATTCACCTCTTTCTCCCTCTCAATGTAATCAAGAACAGACCTCACATACTCGTCCGTTAGCCTCTCCAGTGCTTCCCGTACATTCCCTACCGCATAATTCAAAGGCTTATGCATGAGGTCGTGAAAAGAACAGGTTGAAGTAACAGTTGGAAAAGCTACGTTCCCTGCATAACCGCTAGGTAATGGAGGTTTCAGACGGTTTCTACAGTTGGCCACCGTCGACAACCTCGTTGGTTGGTCGTCGTTGCCGGCATAACGTGCCTTGCTGACGCACCTCCATACGTGACCCGTGATCACCTCGAAACTACTGTATGGCCGTTTATTAGGTGAAGCAGAGTCGCCGACTTTCTTCTTCAGTTTGTTGACTTGGTCCATCGTCAGCTTCAAAACGACAACAGCCGTCTTGGTTTCGCGTTCTGATCCTTCTAAGCCACGTCCTTCCCAAAGTGGGGGTGGGTGAAACTCGGAATGTTCAAAACGTGGCGTCTTATTCAGTGCGCATGAATCTAGCGCTGTTCGATCGTTGAATGGCATTTCGGTTGAACCTAAAAGCTCTCCTCTGGCTAACTTGGCCCATGAATTGATAAAACGCATGGCTGCGATTCCGTCAATAACGGCGCGACACATGGCCAGCCCGATCGTGAGGCCACCACATGAAAATCTGGTGAGCTGCACAGCCAGCAGGGGAACTTGTTCGATGGGACAACCATAGTCAATGTCTGGGATGAGTTCTTGAACGATCTGGGCAGACACAAAGTCATCCAGATCATCCAAAGTAGAGTGACAATAGGCTTGATAGAAGCGAGCTCCCTTGGCGTTGCAATGGAGTTCCCATCGACCGCCTCCGGCGGCGGATCGACACAATCTGCCGGCAAGGGGATAGTGAGGAACCAGAGTTTGGCTGAGAGAAGTGATTAAAATGTGGTGGGGTTGAAGATCCTGACGAGGGATATTAGATTTGTAAACGTAAAGGAGGGAGCTCCCTTGGCGTTGCAATGGAGTTCCCATCGACCGCCTCCGGCGGCGGATCGACACAATCTGCCGGCAAGGGGATAGTGAGGAACCAGAGTTTGGCTGAGAGAAGTGATTAAAATGTGGTGGGGTTGAAGATCCTGACGAGGGATATTAGATTTGTAAACGTAAAGGAGGGATTCGTGAGTGGAAAGCTTGATTTGCTCGCATAAGGAGGAAGGTAAGGTGAGAGAGGGTGTAGGCGCGGAAGGAATAACGGTGTGAGAAGAGAGAATTCTAACCATGGAGGCGGTGCTTGTTTGGCTTAATTTCAGCTCTGACATCGCTGCATTTAAATGAAATGCATGTGGGGAACTCGTAATTAATATTGGAAGTTTTGAGATGGGGAAAGAGGAAGAACAAGGGTTCGTGAGTGGCTTGACGAGATAAATACTAGAACTTTAGGGAAGAAGATGGGACTTGGGAGGCAATTGGTTCGAATTCGAACAGTGAGCAGAGGGACGAAACTCGAAAGGAGGGGACGGCAAAGATGAGCAAGGTGATGGTGGAAGCACATGTTCTTTTTTTTCGGGGGAAGCAAAGATGAGCGTGGACGAAACGAAACTTGCATGCGTAACGGCGCGGTCGACTCCACATGCGCTTGTAACGAATAAGAGGCACCATTTTTTTTTTTTGTTGGGTTGCAAATAAGAGGCACTTCTTTTTTCTTTTTTTTGGTATAAAAAAATTTAAATAAGTTAAGTCATGTGACTTATCAAGGTCAGGACATGCTTTCAGGTCTAAAGAGTACTTACAAATCACCCATTAACAAAGTTCGCACATCAGTAACGGGATTCAAACTTATAACTTTATAAGTTTTGAACTTACTTTTTACCAATTAGATCAACTTTTATTAGTAATAAGAGGCATTCCTAAAAGAATACAGGTTCGGTCTGAGGCATTGGCTCATGAAATTTGGGCATTTTTAGCATTGAAAGGCTTTTGGGCTCGTATGAACCCAGAAAAAGGGATTCCTCTTTTTTTTTTTCCGGGGACAAAATGTATTCATTAAAAAAACTAAATACCAAAATATAGCTCCTTTCATCTGTGTCTAACCCTAGAAAATAATGAAGATATTAAGAAATATTTAGTTTTGTATCCACAACTTGGACTTTAAAAAGTTTATATTTACTTCTTTGAAATTTGGATTTATATTAGTCATTTTGGATTTTAGAACATTTCAATCTGATTCTTTAATTTTATACAATATTATATATGGTTGTCTTAAAAACTAAATTTAATATGTAAGCATTTTAGAATGTTGGGAAAATGATAAAAAAAAAGACCGCCGAAATAAAAAAATTACAAATAAAAACCTATGACAACATTAGTACGAGTTTTTACACCAGTTTTTATAAACTAGTGTGTGTAATTTTTTTATTTCGGTAGTCTTTTTCTGCCATTTTTCTTAGAACATTTTATCAACATTTAAAATACCAATGTTATTATTTTCTTGTTAACGATTTTAACGTTAAAAGATTAAAAGTATATTCTTTAAAGTTAAAAAAAATCAAAACACTGTATAAAGTTAAAAGACTAAATATATATCTTAAGTTTTTTTTTTTTGGTTCCTTTGGAGTTTGAAAATGTATTGCAATGACATGAAAATTTAATTAAAACAAAAATATTGTCTCAGACTTGAAGCTCGGTTCTGTGTCCAATCAATTCCAACTGGATTTAAAAGGTAACTTTGAGTTTAAAAAAAGTTCCTGGGGACCTAGCCCTTATGACCCAAGCCCTACGCCAGGCCAGGCCTGCCTGTTTTCCAACTCCGGGCACTTGATTGCGCAAGGAGAGCAATGCAATTTCTCCCAATTAGCAATATGTGGGCTTTTGACTGGGACCTACCTTTGAAGTTTGTCTCACGAGAACAGAGCCACATGGCTGATCCCGCTCGCTATGGCCGAGGTTGGATTTTCAAAGTCTGCAGCTTTCGAAGATTGTCCGCTGCATCTTCGGACTGGTTTGCTCCAGGAAAGTAGGATTAATTTCCCCCAATAGTTAATTTTTCCTTATTCTGGGCCTTAGCCCTCTTTTGCATAAAAGGAAAAAAGAAGAGGAGCAGAGCAACACAGTTGAATAACAAATTCATTTATCAATTAATATTCTTAATTTATTCATGTATGAAATACTCAAAGACAAAATATTCAAATATAAGTTTAACAAAATTCCAACCAGCTTTTGTGAAGGGTGTTTCCAGTCCGTTGCTTGGGACAACATATAAAGCAGTATCCTTTTTTATTGGGTCAAATATATGAAGCAATAGGAACCAGTTGGTTCCTAACCCTACAAAATATAAAGCAATATCAGTTGGTTCGATTAATAAATTTCATAACTTTGAGATGTGAAAGACCTTCTCAATATCCTCGTAAAACCATCTCCTGAAAGCATCCATATGGAGTGCCTGCAAACAAATGGCGACAACGACGCCGTCCCCATCAGAGCTGTTCAAAACAAAAGCCTTCCCTTCAGAATCCATGAAGCCTGGACCAAAATAAACCGGTTTTCCCCACCCAAAATCCGCCTCACGATATGAAAAATTCATCCAACTAACCACAAACAGATTCGGATTCCCCCTAAATTCCCCTTCATATACACTCTTCGCAGGGTAGTGAAAATTGTATCTCGCCACCTTCATCTCCTTCTCCCTCTCAATATAATCAAGAGCAGACCTCACATACTCGTCCGTTAGCCTCTCTAGTGCTTCCCTTACATTCCCTACCGCAAAACTCAAAGGCTTCTCCATGAGGTCGTGAGAGGAACAGGTTGAGGTAACAGTTGGAAAAGCTGCGTTCCCTGCGTAACCACTAGGAAGTGGCGGTTTGAGGCGATTTCTACAGTTGGCCAGCGTCGACAACCTCGTTGGCTGGTCGTCGTTGCCGGCATAACGTGCCTTGCTGACGCACCTCCATACGTGACCCGAGATCACCTCGAAACTGCTGTATGGCCGTTTATAATTAGGTGAAGCAAAGTCGCTGGCTTTCCTCTTCAGTTTGTTGACTTGGTCTCTCGTGAGCTTCAAAGCAAGAACAGCCGTGTTAGTTTCGTGCTCTGGTCCTTCTAAGCGGCGACCTTCCCAAAGTGGGGGTGGGCGAAACTCGGAATGGTCAAAACGTGGCGTCTTATTCAGTTTGCATGAATCTAGCACTGTTCGATCGTTGAATGGCATTTCGGTTGAACCCAGAAGCTCTCCTCTGGCTAACTTAGCCCATGAGTTGACGAAACGCATGGCGGCGGTTCCGTCAATGACAGCGCGACACATGGCCACGCCGACGGTGAGACCGCCGCATGAAAATCTGGTGAGTTGCACTGCTAGCAGGGGAACTTGTTCGATGGGACAACTATAGTCAATGTCTGGGATGAGTTCTTGAACGATTTGGGCAGGCGCAAAGTCACCCAGATCATCCAAAGTAGAGTGACAATAGGCTTGATAGAAGTGAGCTCCTTGGGCGTTGCAACGGAGTTCCCATCGATAGCCCCCGGCGGCGGACCAAGACAATCTGCCGGCAAGGGGATAGTAAGGAACCAAAGCTTGGCTGAGAGAAGTGACTAGAATGTGATGGGGTTGAAGATGTTGACGAGGCGTATTGGATTTGTAGACGTAGAGGAGAGGTGCGTGAGTGGGAAGCTTGATTTGTTCACACAAGGAGGAAGGTAAGGTAAGAGAGGGTGTAGGAGCAGCAGGAGTAACAGTGCGAGAAGAGAGAGTGGTAACCATGGAGGAGACGGCTCTTGTTTGATTTGATTTCAACTCTGTTGGTCATCACCGGATTTTAATGAAATGTATGTGCAGGATTCGCAAGCAATGAGGTAATCAACAAGAAAATAAGTGGAAGTAGGTACGCTACGGTTCAATGAACCGTCCATTGTCTTTTGAATCGCAGATTATGTAATGACGTTCTTCAACGAAATTGTAACGTTCAAAAGCTCACAGGAAACTCCATGATATAATGTACTCGAATGTAGATACAAATGAGCAGTAATATGCTGTTATAGAGCCTACAAAGAAAAGGAACTCAGAGCAAGGTACAATTTTGTTATAAATAAATAATTTAACTAATTTCTTAATTTTTTAAATTAATTATCTAATTTTTATATTTATTTCTTATTTTTTTAGGTTGAAACCCGCTCTCTACATTTAGAATTGAGTCAATTGACAAGAGTGAGTAACTTATGACCCTAAGGGTTACTGGTTAGGCAGCTAATTTAGTATTGTAATCAAAGAAGACGTAGAACAATAGAATAGCAGTAGATCGATACCCTCTAACCTATTTTAATAATAACCAAATTAACCGCGAAAAATTTAATAAGAACGCAATGAAAACAATAGCAAATTAAGACCATTCTAAAAGCAATGCAGATAAGATCATTATACTGCAGTAAAATCTACACCATTCAAATACATACAATTTTAATGATCTAGATTTAAAATTTTTAACTACAAATTTTTAAATAAAAAATTATTTTTTTAAAGAAGACTTACAATTAAAAAGATTACATTTATTTTAGATTATCTATAAGAAAAAAAATTTTTGAAAAAACAAAAATATAAAATAATTAAATCTCGACTACACATATTAAATTTACACGGTTGAGATTTAATAAGTATTATAAAACTCATCACTATAGATTTGATAAGTATTATAAAACTCATCACTATAATGAGTATCGAAATTGGTTCCCAACAATTAGAAGTTTTTTTTTTTTTGAGAATTAATTGCAAATTGAAAAGTCTAAGAACTAATTTGCTACATGTAAATTATCTCATATTATCGGTGCCAGGGCATGACATTTCCCTTGGGTGTTTAATTTGCTACATGCTCATATGTCATTCAGCGCCCTCACCGTAAGCACCCTGAAAGGTGAGACAGAGATGGCCTGGAAGGGAATGAAATCACACTCACACAAACATTTGAACAATCAGAATTGTTTTATTCACATACAAAAACTCGTTATTTAATCAGCACAATGCGAGGCAGTATTACTGTATAAGTATAGTCCGAGCAGCTACTGTTCTGCGTCCTTGACCTTCTCGACAGCTACATGATTCTCATTCTCTGCTGCTTTTATCTGACTTTCTATTTCTTCCTTCTTCTGGCGAAGGGCTTCTAATTTGGTATTCATTTTTTCCAGCTTTTGCTTTAGCTTGCTAACATCTTTGGTCTTGTCTTTCTCACCCACCTTTCTCTTCTTCCCGCCTTTGTCCTTCTCTTTCTTTTCCCCCTTCTCCTTTTTAACTTTCTTCCCGTCATCTTTTTCTCCATCGTCCTCCTCCTCCTCATCGCCTCCTTCCACTTCAATCTTCCTCGAAACATCATCACCCCTGATATCCCGTTTATCCTCTTTATCTTCAGGATTCTTCTCCTTCTTCCCTTTTTTCTTGCCCTCTTTCTCATCCTCTTCATCCTCATTCTTCTTTTCCTTTTTTTCTTTCCTTATCCTTCTTGTTCTTCTTCTCTTCAACCGTCATCGCCTTCATTTTTTCCTCCGTCCTTCTCTAGACCCTCATCCTTCTTTGCCTTTTTCTTCTTATCCTTGTCCTTTTATCCTCCTCCTCCTCCTTCTCTTCACAATCCTCACCTTCATCATTTTTCCCTTTCTTTCCCCAGCTTTTCATCCTTGTGTTTCTTTTCCTCTTTCTTCTTCTGATCCTCACCTTCATTTTTTAATCTCATCGTTCTCCTTGCCTCCATTGTCTTTCCCCTTCTCCTTTATTGCGTCTCTTTCTTCATCCTTGTCCTTTTTTCTTTTTTCTTCTCCTTATCCTTCTTATCTTTATCCTTCTTTTCTTATTGTCTCCACCATCCTAACATGCATTCTTCTCTCCCTTCTCATTCTCTCTGTCTTTTTTCGACCTTCTCCTCCTTTTCCTTTTCCTGTTTCTTCTTCTCTTCTTCTCTTCACCATCTTATCCTCATCTTCTTTAGCCTTCTCCTTCTTCGTGTCAATTTTTTTATCTTTTCTTCTTTCCTTTTTCTTCTCCTTTTCTTCTTCTTTTCTTCACCATATAATCACCAATCACCCCCCTCCTCATCTTTATCTTCTTCTTTTTCTTCAATTTCTCTTCATCCTTCTGTTTGTTCTTCACCTCAAGTTTAATGTCACTTTTCTCTTGCTCACCCCCGCCAGGGTTATCCTCGGTCTCGACTTCAACAGATATTGTAGTCTTGTCAGCCATATCTAGATTATCTAAAGTGTTGACGTAAAAGGCCTTCTCGACTGAACTGGAACCGGAAGGTCCCTGAAACACATAAGATAAACATTACTACGTGCGAAGTTATTATTAAACAAATGCAGCTTCCTCGAAAAGAAAGAAAATGAAAGAAAATCAGTTATATAAGCATAAAACAGCCCACGCAGAAAAAAATGGTAATCGATCAATTCAAATTCTTCTAGAGTGTTAATGTGGCTACGAAGGAGGCAGTGTTGAATCATTAACCAAACCATTTGGCCTTATCTGGATTAGTCGGTCCGCTAACCTTCATAGATTTGGATCACACTAAGACAATAGGAGGAAAAATGCAATGTAATTGGTATTAGTTGTGGATATATCAGTCGTAATTTAACAAACATTAATTTTGTTGCAGTAAAACGTAAAAGTCATTCGAAGGACAACCGGGGAGCTAAAATGCATAATGAGCACTTGCTTAACATGGTATTCTCTTTTTGTAGAGAGCCGACGACAGCTGCACAATACACCCAGCCAGATTCAGTTGATAAAAACTGAGCTGAGACAGCTAGAACGAGTCAATAAATCGTTTTATAAGTGGTATTATACTACATGGTTAAGATCAAATCAATCCCGACATATCTGAATCAAACAAAGCAGAACAAAGGTCTCACCAACAAAACAAATTAAAAGGCAAGAAAAATTCCCCGCATAAAATCAAGTGGCAACCAATTTCTAAACCGAATCAGCTGGGCAAGATGATTCAAACGAAAATTAATGCAAAATTGATTTAGATTTGACAAAAATATTACCGAGCAACCGATTTTACTTCCAGACATGGAGACAAGAATCAAAGGATGGAAAACACGATCAGGCAGTGGAAATAATAATAAGCCAAAGGATCGGATCACAGTTAAATCAAATGCCAAATCTGAAGTGAAAGATGGAAAAATACCGGCTGATGATGGCAGCGACCGGATAATTGGGTGCAAAGAAATGGATGCAACTCGCCGAAGAGAACAGAGAATCCGGAATCTGGAAGATTTCCAGGATCGGTGAATCGGTGGTTGGGTTTTGCGGAATTTATATAGCTTTGATCTGATGCGTTGAGTGTAGTGGGAAGTGGGAACCAAACCTCTGAAGATGTGACGTCTACGGTGATCCACCAAAAATCTCACGCGGTGGGTGCATGACCGTTCGCTGGGGATTTCCGCGTCGCGTCGTGAGCGCGGTGGCATGCCATTATTTTCTCACTCCCGCGCGACAAAAACAATCATTTTGGCCCATGAATTAGCTTCTGCTCCTATCTTTGAGGCCCAGTGTTGTTTATTTAATTTAAATCACTAATTGTTCGGTGGCCCAAAAAAAAACCGTGCATAGGTATCCTCTCCATGCAGAGATAATCTTATTCGAATTCAAACTTTAATTCGAAAAGTTAACCCTTTTCTTCTAACTCTAAAAGTTCGTTGGTATAAGAAAAAATAAGAGGAGACGAAAAATTGTAATAACATAACAACAATAAGTCTTAAGCCCTGTTTGGATGGTTTGGCAAAAAATTGCCAAACACTAGGAAAAAAACAGAAACCATGGTTTTGACCCAAAAACTATGATTTGGGGAGAAAATTAGAGGGTGTCAGAGTGGGTTTTGTGTAGTTCTAACGGATATGTGCTTTTTTTCCCCCAAACAGATATACCCCTCAATTTTCATTTTTGTATCCGTTCTCTTCGCCTTTAGTCTTCACTCCTCAAAATCCATTCCTCCTTCTGTCCTCTGACACAAACACCTTGCCACTGGTGAAGTGGGCCGTCAAGTTGTGGTTTGAAGGCGCGGGTGAGAAAATTCTCTAATCTACAGAAGAAGATCGCCCCTTGGGTTGTCTGATCTATCCATCGTTGGCTTGGGTTCGTTGTTGTGATGCATCCTTCGGTGGTGGTTGTGTGAGGTTGCCATCGGTGTGTTCCCTGGCTCAGATCCAGTACTCAGGTAAGGTGTCTCCTCTTGAATAATCAATTCTTCCCTTAGTATTTTCTTCTTCTCCATTGCATTGAAATCCTGCCTTCAATTTCTTGCTACTCTCTATTTCGGTTGGTTCATGCTTGTTCTACCAATATGTTATGCATCGTCTGGTGCTCTTTTTTTTTTTTCTTTATCTAGATTCATAGATTGTTTCCTTCTCAGATTCATCTTACCTGGTTAATTTTCGTTTCAATGCGGCTTAGGGGGGTGTTTGCTTGGTGCATAGCTGCTTTTGCTTGCTTTATAGTTGCGGTTGACGTTTTGGCTTCACTAGTGGGTTGATTTTTTTATTTTGAGTTCATTTGTGTAGCTTGTTTATTTCCTTCTCAGATTTCTGGGTTCATTTGATTTTAATTGCTTGCTCTGTTTGAAACCAAAACATCGTGCTAATCTATTCAGTTTCAGGGATCTGGGTTGCTTTCAGAGTCAGAGGACTTGTTTCTTGGCCATGTAGTTTACATTAGTTTTCCATATAGACATATTTTTGTAACCTTTGTAATTCTTCGTAATCCTGTTTTGAATGAAATTATTA